TGAGATTTTGATCTTTCCATTGATTCATTTGTTAATTCATATAGTCAGTAATTTTTTGGTTGCAAAGGTATTTATTGATCATCTCTAATGGGCTAGGCATTTTTCTAGCTGCTGGGGAAATGCAGTGAACAAGACAGATGTGATTCTTTCCTCCATGAAGTTTATAATCCATTAGAGGAGACAGAAAACACCCGTAGCAGTTGTGGTGAGTATGGGCTGATACATAGTCAAATTATTCTTATTGCACATTTATTTTGTCATGTTAGTGAACTATCTTATTTGCTTAGTTCACTCTCTTGGATTATCCCAGTTGAAAAACAAATGCTCTCCTGGCATATGTATGCAGAGCCCCAGCTCTCTGAGTTAGACCTGTTGGCCAGTATGTCCCCCAGTGAGGACAAGTTCATTGTGAATGACAAAGTGGCTTTAGAAGAACTGAAGATTGTATTGAAAAGAGGCCTATGGAGTTGAGATCTTCCAAAGTTTACTTTGCTGTGAATATAAACCTAGAACTGTCAGCTGGATCTATGGTACTCTGTTTTCAGTTTGTAGAATATACAAAGATATTACGTGTAGAAGGAAAAATCATAAGGGTACTCTGCTTTATTTTCAGGTAACATTTTCTCTGGCTTGTCCTTCCCTTTTAAATATCCTGAAGTTCTACCTGAAATTACTGTCGGATACGTTACCAAAATTCTCTGCCTGACCTTACATCTAGTTTTTGGTATGAATAAAAATGGCCTGTCTGTGCTTTTTATGAACATAAGGAAGTAACATTTTCTCATCAGGTCAGAGGCCTTAAGCGATCCCAGCAGACCCTACTGAACACAGATTTGATGTACTTGCACAGCAATTGTTGTGGGGGAGTCTGTTTACTGAATGCTACAGAATGGGTTAGAGAACATGCCTCTGAATGTGCCAGCAGGGATCCCACACCTTCCACCTCCAAAGAAAGCACAGCACAACCCACAAATTCCATTCTTACCTGGCTGTGGATCTACAGCCATCGTATCTTCAACACACATATAAGAAAGGATATTGTCGAGCTAGCAAAGGAGCTTTCTGTCTCTCTGTTTAGCATGCCTGGGAATCCTGGTGTCATTTGTGTGGAAGGCCCACAGAGCACATGTCAACAATTCTGGTTATGGTTTGCTTTTTTATTTTCTTTCCTATCTCTGTACTATGCTAGCCTGTTTAGTACTAACTGAGGTTGAAGTAGATGGGGAAGCACATTCAGTCCTCTGACCAAAGGTGATTTCCCCATTGTAAAGGCAACAATGGAGTGGGAGTCAGTGCCTTCCAGTTCTAAGACTGTTATTGTGGAGCTGTGTCAGTTGCTTAGTCATTTCCAGATCTAGGGTCTTCATCAGACAGGTGGTTGGTAAGATATACGTTACGTTTATTTATAGAGCCACTGAACTAGATGATTTCTAAGATACAGTGTGATTCTGAAATATGACTCTTTGTCCTAACTTGTAATGTTTTAAGTTATGTACACTATAAAATGTTACCTTTCTAGAAGTCTTGTGGTTGACTCAAAGTCCTGTACAGAGGGACACCCCAAGCTTCACAAATCTAGAGTCTCATTTTTTTCTGAAATTGACTGACTGTTTAAGAAAGTCAGCCATTTCCCCTCGTCTAAACTTCTGATAAGGGAAAGTGAGAACAAGAATAGGTGAGTTCCGAAATGGATTAAGAATTGGAAATACTGGGTAATAAAAAGGTATTTGCATGAAATACAAATAGATTTCTTTTCTATTCATGTTGGTTGGTGGATTAAATGACAATTTTTTGTGTGTGTGTGAGGAAGATCAGCCCTGAGCTAATGTCCGATGCCAATCTTCCTCTTTTTTTGTTGAGGAAGATTGGCCCTGGGCTAACATCCGTGCCTATCTTCCTCTACTGTATACGGGACACCACCACAGCATGGCTTGCCAAACAGTGCGTCGGTGCGTGCCAGGATTCCGAACCCGTGAACCCCGGCTGCCACAGTGGAGCGCGCGCCCTTAACCGCTTGCGCCACCCAGCTGGCCCAACAAATTATTTTTTTTAAAGCTTCAGTACATAGTTGTGTATCCTAGTTGTTAGTTTAGTTCTCTATGTGAGCAGCCAGCAGCCACAGTATGACAACTGACAGACGGGTGATGTGGTTCCATGACTGGGAAATGCACCGACGCAATGTCCGTGAGAGCGCTGAATCTTAACCACTAGACCACTAGGGCTGGCTCAACAAACTGTTTTTTTTTTTACTTTTTTTTTATTGATGTCATAATAATTTATAACATTGTGAACCTTTAGTTGTACGTTATTGTTTGTCAGTCACTGTATAAATGCATCCCTTCACCGCTTGTGCCCACCCCCCAATCCCCTTCCCCTTGCTAACCACCAAACTGTTTTCTCTGTCTGTGTGTTAGTTTATCTTCCACATATGAGTGAAATCATGTGGTGTTTTTAACAAACTATTTTTAATACTTATGGACATACCTTAATTAAAGATGTCTATTCTGAACATTTATTTTCAGACTTAGAAAAATAACCTGGGAGAAAATTTTAATTCATCATCAAGAAGACATTCCTTTTGGTGGCACTCATGATGACATGGAAGAACAAAGAAAATTTTCAATTTTTGAGGAAAAATATTTGATGTGAATGGACTCAGAGGAAGTCATGTGAATTTTGGCCAGATGTTTCCTTTTTTAAATGCCATAGGACGTGGTGATGTTTTTCAAATGCTCTTTGGTGTGGAGGGTTAGTAACCAAATAAAGTAGAATGATGAAATATATTTTGAAGTACTGGATGTCTGATTTCCCCTCTGAGAAACTTTTTGGCTTAGGTAAGACTATTTTAACATCAGATTTCTTTTGTAAGACAGAAGACACATGCACTCTTTTCTTAGGGAAGAAAAACTATAATTTGATGTATAACTCTTAACCTATTAAAACAAAAGATTACAAAATCGTCAATGGGAAAGGCAGAGTTTCAAATCTTGACCTAAAAAGTATTTCTTCACATAAAACATTTACATTTTGACAAAAATTAAATGTTATTTTTAATGTTCTTCTGTCCAGAAACCTTCTCTGCCTTTCTATCACCTACTATAGTGCTACAAAAAATTCTTTTCTGAATTCTGAAGCCTTGTATAAACTAATTAAAACAAATTTGTGAGTATCCACTCTGGTAGACACTGTTTAGTGTACTGTGGCTTAAGATAGTCTCACCTTCAAAAGATAGATAGTAATGCTGAAAAAGACAAGCACAAGGAACTGTTATGTAACTGAGACTATCCATTTTCAAATGCTCAAACCAGTTACAAAATGGCGTTCTAGGAAAATCAGAGAGAGATCTATGTGGTCTGGAGTAGTTTGAGGCTCTACATCAAGAGGCATAGATCTATGTTCTGAAATATGGGCAATGTCAAAGAAATAGAAAAAAATAAAATCATGAGATATTTTGAAGTGAGAATAGGCAGAATTTAGGAACCAATTAGTCAACAGGGACATAGATTATCACCCTGGTCTTTTCCTGCAAATTGTTTTTCCCTGATAAATCTGTAGGGAAGTCAGACCAGTATCTTGACTGTTCTTTCCAAAGGCCATGCTAATCTTTAACTGGCTGCTGTCCCTTTCTAGTCCCTCTTTGTTCTTCCTTTCATTCTGCTCTTCCTAATTTTGTCCAAATTTGGGGCTGAAGTTGTCATCCATGAAGATTTTCTGATTACTTCAGCAAGTTAATCTACCCCTCCTGTAGTTTTTTTGATACATGACACCCAAGTTATCACTGAATTGCATGATATCTAGTATTGTTTCCTAGGTGGTAAGCTGTTTTCCAACTATATTGCATAACTCTTAAGAATGAGGACACTGATTTAGGTAACTGATGATGTAAGAGATTTTATACAAACAACTCAAATATTTATTGATTTTATTTTTAATTAAAAGTATATGAATATATTCTCCTTGTATGAAATAAAATGTATTCATGAATCTAACAGGAAGCCAGTTGAATAAAGGAGAAATAGTTTGCAGAGCCTCAGTGCCACGGAGTTGAGTATAAAAGGGTGTGTGTTGTGGACATGAGAGACAATAACCAGCAATATGTGGTTATGTTTCTCTAGTGTGATTCTGAGAAGCAAAATCACTTAAGTTACAAGATCTGTACATGTCAAATTTTAATAGAGACTGCCACATTACCCTCTTTTCTAAAAACTATTTATAACACTTTTGATACGAAAAAAACAGCAGGGGGAGCCAGCCCTGATGGCCTAGCCATTAAAGTTCTGTGCGCTCTGTGTGGCCTAGCCCAGTTCCTGGTGTGGAACCACACCACTCACTATCAGTAGCCATGCTGTGCGTGGCTCACATAGAAGAACTAACAACAAAAATATACAATTATGTACTGGGGATTTGGGGAGGGGGAAAAAAAACAAGAGAGAGGAAAATTGGCAACAGATGTTAGCTCAGAGCCAACTTTCTCAGCAAAAAAAAATCACAAAAAACAAAAAACCTCCACAAAGAATACAACTAGTACAGCAAGACATTAAGGAATGCTTAAAAAAAAACAAAAAACAAACAAGTGTGTGGGGGGATTTAGAGAGAATATTGCCTAGAGAACTATTTCTCAGATTTTAACAAGAGCTGGGAATCTTGTTAAAATGCAGAATCTGATTCAATAGTTCCAAGGTGGGCCTTACAGTCTGCATTTCTAACGAACGTCTAGGTGATGCTGATGATTGCATTTTACAAGGTCTAACATTTTCCTATCTTCCCACATCCACTACCATGCGTGAAAATGCCCCTCTGACGGCACTTGTCAATTTCCTACCCGCTAAACAGGGAAAAAAATCTTGCTTCCGGAAAGCGCGGAAGGCAGGATTTGGCGCCAAGGCTCCAATGCCTGGCTTCCCATTGGCTAGGAATGACGTCACCCAGACGGGCGTGGCTCTAATTGTGACGTCTCAGGCGGCGGTTGGTCAGGGACGCGGCGGGAGGCGGGAGCGGACGTGGGGCACCAGGAGGGCCGGGTGGGTGGCGGAAGGGGAGGGCCGGGGGAAGTCGTTCCAGTGGGCTCTCTTCCGGCGCTAGGGGCCGGAAGTTGTGGCCCGGCCGTGTCAACGGGTGCTGCGGGCTGAGAGTGAGGCTGAGACCGCGACCATGGGCGGGAAGAACAAGCAGCGGACCAAGGGGAACCTGAGGGTGAGTGCGGGGTGGCCCGGCCGACCGGGGAGTCCTGGCCTCGCAGCGGCTGGCTCCGCCCCGCGCGTGCGGCCGGAGGACGTGTGGAGCGCGGCTGTGGGGAGGCATGTGTTTGCGTGTCGAGGGTGACCTCTCCTGTGTGTGCGTCCCCGCGGGCGGGGTGGGTTATGTCTGAGCAGATTGGGGAGTTGTGCGAGGAAAGGTGTTCCATGCCAGAGCTGTCCCCACCCGAGCACACCCCCCACAATTTTCATTAAGAAATGGTCCAGTGTCAGCTTCAGCTGGAAGGTTACCTCGCCAGGGTAGCGGGGGTGGCATTGGGAACAAGGGAAGTGGGTGGGAAGCAGTTCAAGTGAGCCTGGTGTGCAAGCAATCTCGGATCATGTCGCTCCTTTGCTCAGAAACCGACTGTGGCTCCCCACATCCCTCGGGGTCGAGTCCACAGCCCTTAGGATGGTGTACGTGGTGTGTGGTCTGCCCCTCGCCGCTTTCCATCTCCCGCCCCATCTTCATCTCCTTCCTCCTAGCTGCCTCCGTCCAGCCTCACTAGCCTCGGCACTGAGCCTTGACCTTGCCTGGCATGCTCCCCGACGCTCTTTTATTAGGTGGCTCCAAATTTTGCTAGAGACACCTCAGTGAGGTCTCCCATGATCACCCTGTTTTAAGTTGTAGCTCTCCCACACACCCTGTTCTCCTTTCCTGCTTTATTTTACTCCATTGCACGTTGTATGTAATTGACCCTCACCTCATTTACTGTCTTGCTTCACTGGGATATAAGTATTAGGAAGGCAGGTGTTCTTATCTGCTGCTTTTATCCTTGGAGCCTAGAACAAGGACTGGCACATAGTAGAAGCTCACTGAATATTTGTTTAAAGAAAACCCAAAAATAGATTAAGTCTATACGATTAGGGATGTTACAGTGATTTTTTTTTATGGTAGTAGGTTTGTTATGGCACATTCCAATTTTATGAGACTGTAGAAGCTCACTGAATATTTGTTTAAAGAAAACCCAAAAATAGATTAAGTCTATACGATTAGGGATGTTACAGTGATTTTTTTTATGGTAGTAGGTTTGTTATGGCACATTCCAATTTTATGAGACTGTCTTTTTTCCTGTTTCTGATGCAGTTCTAGTGATTTCACTACCACATTTTCTTAGATCTGTCACTTAATCTGTTTTGGAATATAATATCAACAATAATAATAGTACTTACCTTGTGCCAGTACTGTGCTAAGTGCTTTACTTGCATTCTCATGTAATCCTGTATTTTTTTTACTTAAAAAATTTTCTCAGTTTTGAAATATTCCAAATATGAGGAAAAGTTGCAAGAATATTAGAGTGACAACCCATATATTTTTTACCCAGATTCACCAATTGTTAATATTTGGTCACATTTGCTTTCTCTCTTTATATATATGTATTTTGCTGAACCATATGAGAATTCTTGTGGAAATCATGACACTTAACTCCTAAATACTTCGGCATGTATACTCTAAAAACAATGCCATTTTTCTACATAACCGTGAGCAATTAGAACACACAGAAAATTTAACTTCAGTATAATTTTCCTATCTAATAATATATATTATTGTATTCAGATTTCTATAGTCATCTCAATAATGTTCTCTATAACTTTTATTTTAGACATAGCATTTTAAAAAACATCTGAAATCCAATCAAGGATCACTCATTCCACTTAGTTATCATTTAGATCTAGACAGTTTCCCAGTGCGTTTTCTTTGTGGGCAGGTTCTTTTATGCCGTGGACAAGTTGGAAGAGTCTAGGCCAATTGTTTTTGCTTAATTTAGATTTGTCTAATTGTTCCTTACGATTAGATTCACGTTAAACAGTTTTTGACAGGAATGCTTCGTAAATGATGTATTTTTCTCAGTACGTCACACCACAGGGCACATGAGGCCTGTTTGTCCCATTATTGGTGGGATTTGTTTAATCACTTGGTTAAGGTGATGTCCATTGTAAAGGTATCTCTTTCCATTGGCTATTAACAAATAATATGTGGAGTGGTAGTTTGAGGCTGAGAATAACCTGTTCTCTCACAAACTTTCACTTAATGGTTTTAGCATGCTTTGATGATTCTTGCTGGAATCAGTTATTATTGTGGTGGTTTAAAAACTTATGTTTAATCTTAACAACAGCCCAAGTAATCATTTAATTACTGTTGTCTCATTTTAAAGATGATGGTACTGAGGCTTAGAGAAATTAACTTGCTCATTTTTAATTAAAAATTAATACGCTCATGTAGCCAGGAAGTTGCAGAGTTGGGATTTGAGCTTCATAGTGGCAATCATTCATTCATTCAACAGAAGAGTTTGAATACTGAATGCCATGTATTCGAAGATGATAGACGAATGTCTCCTATTCTTGAACTATTAGTTTGATGATAGAGATATATAAGTAAGCAGTTAATTATGTATTAAAGAATTATGATACAGGTATGAGTAGAAAGAAAGTGGGAGAATAGAGAAGAATGGTGATTGACCTGAGGGAGGCAAATGTTGAAAATATGAGTGTGTTTTGAAGGATGAGGAGTTTGTCAGGCAGTGAAAAGGAAGGAAAGGTTTTCGGGCCGAGAGAAAAGATTATGCAAAGACCAAATTGTAAAAGGGCGTAGCATGTTCAGGGAACCTTGAATTCAATTGGGGAGAGGAACATAAATGGCGGCAGCAAAATTGGGAGAGGGGAGGAGTAAGTGGGACAAGGGAATAAAGAGTGGTAGGAGATAACACTGGGAAGGGTTAAGGCCAGTGGGTGCAAGATCTTGTACGTCTTCCTGAGTTTGGTCTTTAGCGTGTAGACTCAGGATTGCCACCTCAAATACCTGGAGAAGCCAGGCACAAAAGAATGAAGTAGGTGTGGTATAAGAAAATTAACTGCTAGAAATAGAATCAAAGTTCTTAATTTTTCAACTGTGGGTATAAGCATCTAGCATACAGTAGAGGAAGTAACAAGAAACAGTAACTATATATTAAATACAAAATAGACATTGAAAAAATACAATTCGTATGTTTAAAAAATAATTTGTTACTTTTAAATTGGAAACTAGAAATCTGATACCTTTTCTTCTGCATCTAGTTAGTTACTACTGTCGGCTCTGGTATTTCAGGTCAGTTCAGAGTTCAGCCTTGACTCTTTTAGCTTTTAGCAATAATTAGTTTTTTTTAATGCTATTTCATTATTTCGTTTCATAATACAACTGTTTACAGATGAGATTATAGGTAAAATTCTGATGTCCTGCCACCATATTTAGTTTTCAGAATTGTAATTCACTAAGTACTTTTGTAGCTCTTTATTCATGTACTGACATTGAGAGAGGGGAACTGAATAATGTTAGTTCATTTTAATAAAGTTTTAAAATAGAGGGACCGTTTTTGAAATTAGTCTTAAATGCTACTGTTTTGAAAAAAAATTTAATTCAGGCCATTATTTTCATTTCTGGTCACTCATTTCAGTTAAGAAAGTAGTCCAGATTATTTCTTCTTTTTCTTTTTATAAATTTTCCTTTCTTCTTCTTCTTCTTTTTTTTTTTTTTTTTGCTGAGGAAGATTAGCCCTGAGCTAACATCTGTGCCAGTCTTCCTCTACTTTGTATGTGGGTCGCCATCACAGCATGGCTGACGAGTGGTGTAGGTCTGTGCCTGGGATCCAAACCCACAAACCTGGGCCCCCCAAGCAGAGTGCACTGAACTTAACCACTATGCCACAGGGCCAGACCCCAGATTATTTCTTGACAAATGAATTTCCCAAACACGAGTTTTCTAGGTATGAGCAAATTAAGTCATACATTTGGGTAACCCTTTTAAACATTCTTATAGAGAGTAAGAAACAGATGAGTTTAGATGGGTTGTAATGTCATCCTGGACATTGAACTGAGGCATTTTTTTATTAGATGACAATGAATACATTAATTTCTTTCAATAGTTCAAATATGTTCTTTCTCTTTCACAACTAATCCCTTAACTTTTAGAATTAGCAGGCTACTGTGTTATGTATCAATCAAACAAACCATTGGAGGCTATTATATTATATATCAATCAAACAAATCACTGACTGTGGTTCAAAACAAAGGCATCTATTTTATATCCTGACTATTGTATTGATTTTTATGTCCATAATAATGTAATTTGTAACCGTTTTAGCCTAAAAGAGGTTAGGCTAGGCTTTGGGTATGTGGAAATGAGTTGTGTCTGCTCTCAAGAACTCCTAGTCTAGAAGCATCTATTATTAGATTTGTCCTATGGTGGTTGCTTAATAAATATTTGTTGAATGAATGGCTGAATGAAAAGATGTAATCCGTTTATGAGTTAATTTTACATTATTACACAGTACACATGGCCCATTAAGTTGATATCGTGAGCCATTAATGGATTGTATCCATAGTTTAAAAAACATTGTTTTGATGTTTAGGAAACCGGGAAATAGTTCCTAGGATCGTTATTGTAGGTTCTTGGTGAGGGAAACATTCATCCTTGGGGAACACTGCAATAGATGAAATCTTAGGCTAGGAAAAAAAAAAGTCCTCAAATAACACCTTGTTTCACCATGGGATTTGTCAAGGAATTACTCTAAAGAACTCAAAGTTAAATTTTGAACTCTTCTTGGACTCTGACTTTTTTCCTCCCTCCTTTCTTATCAGCCTTCAAACAGTGGCCGAGCTGCAGAACTCCTTGCCAAAGAACAGGGAACAGTACCTGGATTTATTGGTTTTGGAACATTTCAGAGTGACTTAGGCTACGTTCCTGCTATTCAAGGAGCTGAAGAAATTGACAGTCTCGTGGATTCTGATTTTCGAATGGTGCTGCGGAAACTTTCTAAGAAAGATGTCACAACAAAATTAAAAGCAAGTTTTATCATTTTCATAAAAATGATTAAGAAAATCCTTTTGTTAAAATGTAATTGGCATATTTTATGTAAAGAAAAATGAAGACTCATGTATCACTAATAGGTTCTTTTACAGTTGTACTTTTTTCTGACACATAGACTTAAGCTTGGTTTACACTTACCTTCTGGGTTATAAATTGGTTTGTTGCTCTGCACTTTTTTGAAGCACTTTGGAATTCTGAGTTTACAGTGTTTTCCATTAGAGAATGTAATTTTGACCCTGTGATTTAAATGGGATTTTTTGTTTGTATATGTTTTTTTTTTAAAAAAACTGAAAAGTTTCTACCATAGTAGCCTGTGAAGAACCTCTTCAGATTAGTCCCATATGGCACAAACAGAAACAATGTATTGTCCTATTACATAAAATAGGCTAAGCTTCTAGAACAGAATGTAATCAGTGACCAATATTATAGTTGTTGATCCTTAACGATGTTAATAATTTACTTTTAGGCTATGCAGGAATTTGGAACCATGTGTACGGAGAGAGACACAGAAATTGTAAAAGGAGTTCTTCCATACTGGCCAAGAATTTTCTGCAAAATTTCACTTGTAAGTATTAAGACTTTACTAGTTTATTTCTGTTGTATATTTTTTGGTTGAAGTCATGGGGACTATCACATTTATATGATTCATTTTCAGTGAGGGTTATGAAATGTTATGTCAGTATTGTTATGCAGATTGGATTATGTTGGGTTGTATAAAGCATATAGGGAGTCTTTGTTGTCAGAAATTAGATCATTACTAGAGAATTACCCAGATACTTTCCAATCATAGTAGATTTTGATAATTTGATTTCTTTGTATATTTGCTGCAGAAGAGTGAGAATGAATTGCTTAATTGTTCAAGGCCTAGCCTTGACTCGATCTTGAATACAATTGTTTTCATCTCATTGAGAAAAGGAGAGGGCCAGCCGGCCCCATGGCTTAGTGGTTAAGTGCGCGGGCTCCGCTACTGGTGGCCCGTATTCGGATCCCGGGCGCGCACCAACGCACCGCTTCTCCGGCCATGCTGAGGCCACGTCCCACATACAGCAACTAGGATGTGCAACTATGACATACAACTATCTACTGGGGCTTTGGGGGAAAAAAAAAAGGAAGAGGTTGCAATAGATGTTAGCTCAGAGCCGGTCTTCCAGCAAAAAAAAAAGAGAATTAGCATGGATGTTAGCTCAGGGCTGATCTTCCTCACAAAAAAAAAAAAAGAAAAGAAAAGAAAAGGAGAAAAAGAAAAATTAATCATATGCTATGATGACCATATCTAGAAATGCCTGTATTTGTTTTTGTGGGCTAGAGCTGTTTTAAACCATGTTATATTTTTAATAGGATCATGACCGCCGCGTTCGAGAAGCCACACAACAAGCTTTTGAAAAACTTATCCTTAAAGTAAAAAAACACTTGGCTCCTTACTTAAAAAGTTTGATGGGCTATTGGCTAATGGCTCAGTGTGATACTTATACACCAGCTGCTTCTGCAGCAAAAGATGCCTTTGAAGCAGCTTTCCCTCCAAGCAAGCAACCTGAAGCCATAGCATTTTGTAAGGACGAAATTACAAGTGTAAGTTCTTGGAACTGTTCTGCATATGTATTTTTTTCTTAAGTGTTTAAGGACTATAAGGCATATTACAATGACAGCTCTTTGACCTGACACTGTGAGGGAACGAGTAAGTGAAATATTTCCAATGGAAGATTGCCTTTTTAAAATGGTGTTTATCAAGATTGACCATTTTGGATTTTTAATAATTGACCCTTTAGATCGGATCTTTCTAAATTATTTAAATTTTCCACCTTTACTTTATAAATCTTAATTTATCATATTATCTAAAAGACTTAGATACATGCTTTGTTAAATATAATCTAAAAAAAGAGTACATCTAAAAATTAAATCTAAACTTATTTTTCCCCGTGCTCGCATATCAGTACATGTACACAGATCTACTTCATTCTTTTTGTTGGCTCTCTGATATTTCTTTGTGTGGTTGTACAACAGTTTGTTTAACTTCTTCTATATTAATATACATTTGGGGCTTTTCTCCAATTTTTTATTACACAAACACTGCTTCAGTGAACTTTTTTTTTTTAATTGAAGTATCATTAACATACAATATTGTGAACATTCTTGAATAGATCTCTTCATACTCTGTGGAGTGATAGTTATCAGAACTTGTAGTAACCATATGTTGGGGCAAAGGATAAGAACATTTAAAATTTTTATAGATGTTGATAAATTGCCCTTTGAAAGGCCATACAAATTTATACTCCTGTTAACAGATATGAAAGTTTCTCCAACACTTGGCCAGCACTTTTGCCAGAGTGATATCAGCCATAACTTTTGTGGCTTTCAGTTCCTCTGTGTCTAATACTGTCCTTCCGCATTTCTTCCCTTGTTATTTGCTATTCCTAATATATGGACTGGAAAAACCAGACAGCCAAGGTTCTTAGTATTATATCAAGAAATAAAAGTAGCTGGACTGAAAGTGAGGGGGGAATTGAGGATTTAAAAAATTCACGCTTGAATTCATACCCTTATTTAGTGCTCCTATGTTTCCATAGCACCCTGTATGTAATCCTACTGAAACATCCTCCCTCCTTTCCTCCTTTCAGTTAGTCAAGCTTACTGTGGCTTCCCATTATACTTGCAAGTCCAGATTTCTTATCTTGGCCTATAGGGTTCCACATAGTCTAGTCCCTGCTTACCTATCTGATCTCGTCACCCAGCACCTCTCCTACACATGCACACATATACATTCTAGTCCCCCGTTTACGTTCTTGGTTCTTCCATTCTTCATTTCTCTGGTGTACCAAGCTTGTTTTTCTAAAGAGAGTGTTTTCGGCTTTAATCATGTTCTCAAAGGGAGTTGTGTAACCCAACTGTAAATTAATCATTGGTTTATTTAAAATATCAAGTGATAAATGTTATGAGAGTGAAGTGTCATGCGTTTGGACACTAAGAGTTTTAGAAGATGGATTTTAGGACACTTAATTTGGCTGTTCATAGTTTTTTGGTTCGTTTGTTTGGTTTTTTATTCTTGACTTTGTTATATGTGGATTATTTCCTCCATTATTTTCCGTTTAATTGGCCATGTCACAGTTCATTACAGATATTGGGCTTGAGCTTTCCCAAATTCAAAACCAATGTATTAGGAGGTAGGCAAATGAAGATCAAAATGTCAGATTTATAGACAGTATGTCATAATGTATGTAAGAACATGGGCTCTGGGTCATGCCATTGGATTCTAGTCCCTTTGTGCTATTAGTTGGATGTGTGACCTTGGACAAGGTTCTTTGCCTCCGTTACCTCATCTATTAAAGTGGGAATTAACTTGACTTCATTGAGTTTTTGTGAGGATTAGTTTAGTTAATGCATGAAATGTGGTCAAAGCAATACCTGGCATATGGGAAAGCTCAATAAATGCTAGTTGTTCTTATTGCTGATAAAATAGATACTGGAACAGTGGGCTTCCTGGTACTGCACACTCCAGAAGTAGGCAGACTTACTTGCATTTCAAATGGACCCTTGGACTTCCTCTGTGATGGAGCAGAGCACAATATGTGTTCTCTGTGAGCAGGGAGGTGCTCAAAAAGAGAGAAGAAAGCAGAGCCTAATTTTTCTCCCAAACTTACTAATTGGGTATTCCATCTACTTCATCACTGTGTGCGAGAGGAGTGGAGAAGCAAGATGCCAGGAATATTTAGGGGAAAATTCTTTTTGATGGAAACTGGAAGTGTTTAGGAGAAGTACCCTGTCCTTCTTACCCCAACAGCAGCCAAGCTTGGGGATTGACAGGGAAAGAAAAATAGGTAAAATATTTTCAAACCTTTCAGTTTTGCTATTTAATTTTGCTACTTTTGTGGGAAAGGGACCAAAAACTTTTAGGGAAGATGAGGTTTATGGTCTATCTGTTCACCACTGACAGTTCAATAAAATCTGAGGGCTATGGAATTTTCCCCCTCTCTAGGTGCTGCAGGATCATCTTATAAAAGAAACGCCTGATACACTCAGTGACCCACAGTAAGTTGTATTGTGTCTGTGACTCTTGTTAAGGATTTGTTTCACTCATAGGTAATAAGATGATAATTTCAATGTGACATTTTTAAAAAAGGGATTCAAAATGTAGAGAGGAAAGTACTTAATATAGTGCTGTATGCCAGGTGCTGTTTTAAGTGCTTTTACTTGCAAATTGTCCTGCTATTTAACTTGAATTATCTGCGAGCTACACATTGCGTTCTTTTACAAAGAGATGTTTTTAGATTTTTCCCACATTTATCTTTTGACAGTCGTAGCAGGAACCATTTTAAGGTCTGGTTGAAAACAGTTGAAGAACTATGAATAGTTCTATTGAAAGAGTAGTAAAATGTTCCATTTACTTTTGTTCTTAGATTCTAATCAAACTGTTAAGAGTCCATAAGGGAAAGTAATCTTTGATGCGTTGATATCCTTTCCCCAGAATGACCCTATTAACTGCTACTGAGAGCAGTGTCCTTGCACACTTATTTCAAGCTACAGCTTCTCATCTGCTTTCACCTTGTATTATTAAAAAAATATATGATTAAAATTCTGTGAATGTTTGTATTTTGTGTGTGTGGGGTGGCACAGGGAGAATAGAATATAGAAATAAAGCAACTTTGGTAGATATTTAATGATAAAACATTTAAAATAGAAGTACCAAATATGTAGTTTGGCTTATTCTCAATCCTTATGTATTTTTATTTTCTTTTCACATCAAGAACTGTTCCAGAGGAAGAGAGAGAAGCTAAATTCTATCGAGTTGTGACTTGTTCCTTATTGGCATTAAAGAAATTACTTTGCCTGTTACCTGATAATGAGCTTGAGTCTCTGGAGGAGAAATTTAAGTCTCTTTTATCCCAGAATAAGTTTTGGAAGTATGGAAAACACAGTATACCTCAGGTATCTTAATCTTGTTTATTTTAAGACATTTCTCTGATACCTTCTTTTCGTCTGATCTTGTTTCTGTTTATGCTTTATGTTTAAAACTCTGCAAAGACATCTTTGTGGTGGGACTGAATTGCCTCTCTTACTAGAATGTTATTATATTTTCACTTTTTTATTTAGCTATTTAGACTTCAGATTCAGAGTTGAATTATACTCCTCTGTTCATGGCACCTTAAAATTGTTGGTGTATGCAAGGCTCTTCTTGTTTAATGTATTTATTTTTTCCCTTTTGTCCCTGTCTCCCTTTCCATTCTCCACCTCCACCAGCTGATCATTCTAATGTACTTCATGCATGTCCTTTTGTTTGTATAGTTGATTCTCATTATTTATAGTGATTATCTTCTATAAAGTCCCCATGGACACTGAATTAGTGAATACTGAAGCACTGTTCTTAGGAGAAATATAGGATTAGGTTCCTTCGTGTCTTTGGTCACAACATTTTTGTCAATTGGTCAGTATATAGCCTTGTTTTATGTATGTCTGTTTAAAGACATCTCATTTAATGTATATTGTTGATTCATTAACATTGAATTCACGGACAACAGCACTAAAAGTCATGCCCGAATGAAGCTTATCGAACACGTCTTTTCTTTGTTAGGCACATCAGAGCCTTTTTGCAGGTGTTTTTAATCCACATAAATGGTATTGTGTTATAATTCATTCCATTTATTGATTTTTACTTAGTACTTTTTAAAAAAAGTACTAAAATACTTTTAATCCATCATGTTCCATATATATATATCTGGTCCACGGCTTCTAACTGCTGTGTAGTATTCAGAAGTTTGCATCCATTCCATTTTACCTGTCCATTCCCCCAGTGATAGACCCCCTGATTGCCTCCAACTCCCTGCCCTCACAAGTAATGCAGCAATGAATATCTTCATTTATGTGTCCTCAGATCTGTGAGAATTTCTTTTTCTGAAATTCTCTCAATTTCCAAATTGCTGAGTTAAAGAGTATGTGCATACTTTATTTTCTGAAGAAGTGCCAGATTGCTCATCTGAATGGCTGCATTACCCTAGACTCAACCACCAATGCACGATGAATCCTGTATATCCTTATATTCTAGCCAGGACTAGGCATCATTCAGCTTCCTAATTTTTATCAGTCTAATAGGAGTTCAAATGTTCTCTTTCTTTAATTTTAATTACTCTGTTAACTAGTGACTTTTAGCATCCTTTACAAGCTTTTTAGATTTTTGTGTTTCTTCTGTAAACTAGTTGTTCATGTCTTTCTCCCTTTTTTTCTATGAGAGTTGTTCTCTTGTTTTACTAGAGTTCTTTGTATATTCTAAATATTAGTCCTTCTGTCATTTTTACACATTGCAAATAATATCCTATTCTGTCACCTTTCACGTGTCCTCTGGAAGAAAGAAATTTTAATGTTGATGTAATCAAAGTCACTGATTTTGCCTTATGCAGGCCTTTCCCACTTTTAAGCCATAAAGATATTCTTGTATTTTTAATAGTTATATCTTTTTTAACAGTTATTTTGTTTATAGTTTTACCTTTCATATGAAGCCTTTAATCCATGAAAAATCCACTTTTTATATGGTGTTAGGTAGAGATCTAGTTACATTCCTCTTTATGTCTAGTGAACCAGTTTTCCTATCATCCAGTAAACTATTCGTTCTTTCCCTATTTATTTATGGTCCGCCATTATGGTACATTTAGTTCCCATATCTTCGTAAGTTTGTCTCTAAACTCTGTCTTCTGATCCAAAGACCTTTGTTTCTTTGTATGCCAGTGCCACTGTTAATATGACATTATGATATGTCCTAATAACTGCTCAGGTGTGTCACTTTTTTAGTCATCATCTTCAAGATTGACTAAGTTGTTTTAGAACTTGATTCTTCCATATAAATTTGAGTGCATTTATTGAATTCCTCAAAAAGTCTAACTAGAATTTCAGTTGGAGTTGCACTGAATGATTTGGGGAAACTTGCTGTCTTTATGTTGTTGAACCTGATGTTATGATGAACCTGTCATATCTCTCAATTTATTCAAGTGTTTTAAAAATATCGTAGAAAAAGAATTTTTGTGGTGAGGAAGATTGACCCTGAGCTAACAACGTCTGTGCCAGTCTTCCTCCATTTTGTATGTGGGTCGCCACCACAGCATGGCTTGATGAGTGGTGTAGGTCAATGCCCAGGATCCGAACCTGCGAACCCTGGGCCACCGAGGCGGAGTGTGTGAACTTAACCACTGCACCACCAGGCCAGTCCCAGTCCTAGAATAATTTTTTAAACCAACTTTATTGAGGTATATTGTACACACAATCAAATGCAGCCATTTTAATCATACGGTTTGATGAGTTTTGACAGATGTAATACACCCATCTACATGTACATACCCATGTAACCACTACAATCAAGATATAAAACATTTTTATTACCCAGAAATGGGTTTCTTGTGTCCCTGCTAGTCATCCTTCTCTCTACTCCAGGCAACCATTGATCTGCTTTTTGTCACTACAGGTTAAGTTTGTCTTTTCTAGGTTTTCATATATATGGAGCCATATATTACTCTGTATCTCGCTTCTTTTCTCAGCATAGTGCTTTTAAGATTTGTTCATTGTTGTTGCATGTATCAGTAGTCCATTCCTTTTTAGTGCTTAGTTTCGTATAGTCTTTGTATGGACACATGTTTTCATTTTTCTTGGCTAAGGAGAGTAATTGGTGAGTTATATGGTAAGTATACGTTAAATTTATAGGAAGCTGCCAAACCATTTTCTAAAGTGGATGTACTGTTTTGCACTCTTATCAGCAATGTATGATATTTTTAATTGCTGCAAATCCTGACTTTGATGTTTTCAGTTGTTTTAAGTCATTCTCATGGGTTTGGGATCAGGGGATCGACAGACTACGGCTCATGGGTCAAAATCTGGCACACCTGTTTTGTAAATAGTTTTTTGTATTTTCTGTGGCTGATTTCATGCCAACAAAGCAGAGCTAAGTATTTGCAACAGAGACTATATAGCTTGCAAAGCCTAAAATATTTACTCTCTGGCTCTTTAAAGAAAATATTTACTCACCTCTGGGGTAGAGATTTTTCATTGTGGTTTTAATTTGCATTTCCCTGATGGCAATGATGTTGAACGTTTTTTAATGTGCTTATTGGCCATTTGTAAATCTTCTTTTTTGAGGTGTCTATTCAAGCCTTTTGCTCATTTTTAATTTAATATGTTGTATTTTTTATTTCTAAAATTTCTACTTGGTTTTTTGTATTTTCTATTTCTTTGATGAAATTTCCCTTTTTTTTTTAAAGACTCTGTTTTTTTAGAGCAGTTTTAGATTCACAGCAAGATTGAGGAAAAGGTACAGAGTATTTCCCTGCTCCCCTCAAAAGCATAGCCGTCCCCATTATCAACATCCCCTACCAGAGTGGTACATTTGTTACAATTGATGAACCTACATTGATAGGCCTTTATCATCCAGAGTCCATAATTTACATTAGGTTTCTCTCTTGGTGTTGTACATTCAATAGGTTTGGACAAATGTATAATGACATGTATCTGTTTCTTACTTTTTTTCACTCATTGTTATGTTTTTCTTCACCTCACTGAATATAGTCATAAGAGCTGATTTAAAGTCCATGTCTGAGAATAACATCTGGGTCATCTTGGGATTGGCATCAGTTAACTGTGTTATCCCTTGAAATGGGATCACATTTTCCTGGCTCTTTATATGTTGAGTAATTTTAGATTGTATCCTGGACATAGATATTTAGATTATATCCTGGAATTTATGTTTTGGAGACTGGATAATGTTATATTGCTACAAAAGTGTTGATGTTTTTGTTTTAGTAGACAATGAGCTTGGTTAGATTCAAACAGCAAAACGTCATGCCTGCAGTGGGCAACATCTGAGATCTCATTTCAGTTCCTTAAGCCTTAGTTTTAAGCTGCTTTCAGTTTACCCTGTGTATGCATGGGTCAAGGGTCAGCTGTAGATGCAGGCTGTTTAAACACAGAATGTGGGGATTCTTTTCTCTGGCTCTCTCCTTTCTAGAATTCCCTGTCACTCTCTTGCAACCTTGTTTACCCTGGGCTCCTTTTCCTGCTTCTTCCAGTTCCTCCAACCAGAAGGATGTCAGGCTTTCTATTGGAGTTGTGGCTGTCCCTGTGCCTCTGTGGTGGTGACTGCAGCCACCTTCAGGGCAAAGCTGCACAAAATGGGAATCAATCTCTGTGGATTGCTTGACTCCAAGTTTTGATTCCCCTCCAAAATGTGTATTTCAGTCTTCAGAGCCTCAGGTAGTTGTTTTTTGTGTTTTGTTCACAGAGCCTATAGTCGTTCTTTGTAGGAAGATCAATGTATTATCAGTCTCTCACTACAACATATTCTTTTGGCCATTTTTAAATTGGGTTTTTACTTTTGAGTTGTGGAATGTGCTTTATTTATTCTGGTTGTAAGTATTTTGTCAGATAAAGTATTGTGAATGTTTTCTTCCAGTCTGTGGCTTACCTTTTCATTTTGTTAATGATATTTGGAGAGTAGGTGTTTTAATTTTGGTGAAGTCCAGTTTATCAACTTTTTTTTTGTTTTTAATTTTGATGAAGTCCAGTTTATCAATTTTTTTCTTTTATGGTTTGTGCTTTTGATGTCTTATCTAAAAAATCTTTGCCTTCTTCAGGGTTGCAAAGATTTTCTATATTCTAGGAGTTTTATAGTTTAGGTCCATTTAGAGTTAATTTTTATGTATGGCATAACAATGAGAGTTTAATTAATTTTTTTCATGTAGGTATCCATTTGTTGAAAGACTATTCTATACTCACTCTGGCACCTTTGTCAAAATTCAATTGACCATATATGTCGGTTTTTAATTTTAGACTCTATTCTGTTCCATTCATCTGTATGTCTATCCTTACATCAGTACCACACTCTCTTGATTATTATTGTTTTATAATAAGTTTTGAAACCCTCCAACTTTGTTCTTCTTTTTCAAAATTGTTTAGGCTATTTTAGATCCTTTTCATCCTAGAATAATAATAGATAATACTCTCCATACTGAACACATCTTTATGGTTTTTGTCATTATTGAGAAATGGATTTTCTTTTTCAATTACATTTTCTATTTTGTTTCTACTGATATATAGGAGGACTATGCTTTCATATGTTAATTATATATCCAGCAACTCTTCCAAACTCCTGTTAGTTCTAATAGTTTGTCTTTAAATCTTTTTGAATATTTTTTATAGCTTGTTATTTTGCTACAATTATAGATTGTTTTTTGGGTTACTTTCCAATTCTTTTTATTTCCTTGTCTCTTTGTATTAATTAGGTCCTCCAGTACCATGTTGAATAGAAGTGGTGATAGCAGGCATCCTTTTCTTATTCCTGACTTTAATGGAAGTAGTTCTAGACTCTCAAAGTTAAGTATGATGCTTGCTGTAGATTTCATAAGGTTTAAGGTTTCCTTTTTATTCTTAGTTTGCTGAGTATTTCTGTAATAAATGAATGCTGATGTTTTCTTGATTGTGTTTTCTGATATGTTTATATGATCATACAATTTTCCAGCCTAGCATATAAGAGAAAAACTTAGTCATTCTGTATGTATATCTTTTTAAATACTCTGCTGACATTGATTTGGTAATATTTAATATAAAATATACAGAAATAAAATATTTTATGGGGTTAAATATATGTGTGTATATTTTTTTAATCCCAGAAAACATTGTTATTACACTCGCAATCTTGATTTAGATTTACCTAAATATTCGTTGCTTTGTTTGCTCTTTATTCCTTTCTTCATCTCTTAACTTCCATCTGGGATCATTTACCTTCCGTGTGGAGTGTGTCCTTTGGCTTTCTTTTTGTGCTGGTCTGCTGGTGATGAAGTCTTTTTGTGCTCTATCAAAAAAGAGGTTTTTATTTCACTCTCATTTTTGAAAGATAGTTTTATGAGGTACAGGATTAAATACTGGCAGTTATTTTTGTGTTGAAGATATTATTCCACTGTATTCTGATTTACATTGTTGCCATCGAAGTCAGTTATGAGTCTTAATGTCCTTCCTTTGAAGGCAGTTTGTCTTTTTCCTCTTGCGACTTTTAGGATTTTCTCTTTGTTTTTTTTTCGCAGTTGCACCATGATGTGTCTTGGTGTGGACACATCATTTCTTTTTATATATCCTACTTGGGATTTGTTGGACTTCTTGAATCTGTAGATTGGTGTATTTCATTGGCTCCAAAAAATGTTCAGTTATTATCTCTTTAGATATATCCTTTGCCTCATTCTTTCTCTTCTTTTCCTTGGGGATTCTGATTAAATATATGTTAAGTCTTCTCACTATCCTCTATGTATCTTATGCTGTCCTTGGTGTTTTTGGTCTTTTTGTCTTTCCATGCTACTTGGTGGATAAATTCTTTTGCTCTGTGTTTCAGTTCACTGATTCTCTCTTTATCTGTATCTAATCTGCTCTTAAACTGTGAATTGAGCTTTTATTCATATATATATATATATATCTATATCTATAGTTGAGGGATTATGCTTGGTTCTTTTTCAGATCTGCTGTGCTTTTTCTAAGGTCTTTTTCCTGTCGTATTTCTTTAAACTTCTGTTTCTTTAAATATAATAAGCATTGTTCATATGGAGTTTGTAACTGATAATTCTGAGATTTAAAGTCTCAGTTCTCTTATATTTCTGGTAATAGTGGCTCATGGTGACTTATTTCTTGTTTGTTTGGCTGTATTTAACTTTGTGCTGCTTACTATATTCATAGGAGTAATTTGAGGCCCCAAATGAAGGCTTCTGCCGGTAGAAAGGATTTGTGTTTGCTTCAGCCAAAAAAATAGAAAGTTGAATTATTTCTACCTTCACTTTTAGCTTAGTAATTACTAATGTCTTTTCAGTTATTTGATACTGTTAAAAAATTTTTAAAGTGTATTTTTTCTAGCCCTTTTAGTTTTATTAATGGGAGGGTTAGTATGAATAACCTATTTGCCATTACCATAAATAAAAAATCTTATCCCAGCTTTACTAGGCTTTAATTTAATTCAGCCTTCTATTTTTTCTTTTAGATCCGCTCAGCTTATTTTGAGTTAGTTTCTGCTTTGTGCCAGCGTATTCCACAGTTGATGAAAGATGAAGCATCCAAAGTGAGCCCATCAGTTCTACTGAGCATTGATGACAGTGACCCCGTTGTATGCCCCGCTCTCTGGGAAGCTGTGCTTTACACACTTACAACTGTTGAGGTAGGTCAGAGAGGTACATTTAGTACAGGGAATATTTGTCTTAGTTGTAGTTTAGAAGCCTTAGATATGATGCAAGAGAGAGCTTATCAGATTATTATTATTCCAATATCTAAAACATATTGGAAAAATGCTTTTTTGCAAATAAAATACTAATAAACTTTTTATAATTTTGGAGTTTTAGTTTTTAATGGTGGTGAGAGATTTTAGCCTCTTTAGGTAGGATACTTGATTTTTATTTTTGAGAGCCTATATGTCTTCTCTCTTAATTGGGAAAATATGTTTATGATCTCTAATTATTATTATAATGTTTTCTTTGGTTAGGACTGTTGGCTTCATGTAAATGCAAAAAAGAGTGTGTTTCCCAAGCTGTCAGCTGTGGTTCGTGAAGGTGGTCGAGGTCTGGCTACTGTCATATATCCTTACCTTCTGCCATTTATCAGCAAACTTCCTCAGTCCATTACAGATCCAAAGTTGGATTTCTTCAGAAATTTCCTCACCTCTTTAATTGCAGGGTAAGGAATTTAAATTATTGATCTTTAAAGCAAAAGAGATTTTTCTTGTTTTCATAAATACATAGAATGACATACTCATTATTGTCTTTCTTATTTAAATTTCCCCAAATTGTTTTGCTGTTTATTAAACACTTTTAAAGTTTTCAGAGAATTACAATTGGAATTCTTTTCTTGGGTACTTTGTAGGCTTTAATGGTAGTTCACAGCAGAAAGTGAGACAAATATGGTAAGGCCCTTGATGGAAACAGTTCATTTTTCAAATGAGACATTTTTTTATGTTGATAAATACAGATACCCAAATGCAGAAAATGAACCAGTGAAGTTTTTTTTTTTCTTTTTTTTGTGAGAAAGATCAGCTCTGAGCTAAGATCCATGCTAATCCTCCTCTTTTTTGCTGAGGAAGACCGGCTCTGAGCTAACGTCCATTGCCAATCCTCCTCCTTTTTTTCCCCCAAAGCCCCCCAGTAGATAGTTGTACGTCATAGGTGCACATCCTTCTAGTTGCTGTATGTGGGACACGGCCTCAGCATGGCCGGAGAAGCAGCGCGTTGGTGCGCACCCGGGATCCGAACCCGGACCGCCAGTAGCGAAACATGCGCACTTAACCGCTAAGTGAAGCGGGGCCGGCCCACCAGTGAAGTTTTTAAAACTTCCATAAACTTATTTATAATAGCTGTTTAAAGTCATACTTAAAAAATTATTTCAGTGTATTTGTTGAACTTAATAAATAAAAGCCAGTTTTATTAATGATTAAAACTTTGTTTTCACTACATTATTATCTTTATTTGTTTAAGTCTTCTCTTTCAAATTTGCAGGTAGATTTGTTCATGAATAAAAAATATCTGTTATCTTTTGTTGACCCTTTTTTGAAAATATGCTTTTTTTTCACAGTTATTCAAGTTCATATTCTAATTGGGCTGTATTTTGGTTGGTGGTTGTTAGTTTTTAGTTTAAAAAAATCCTCTTCTTTTGGTATGATGCCTTTCCTGTGTCTTTATTTTTGAGTTGCTTATTTTCTTTTTCATGAAGGAGTAAGCCACAGTTATTTATTATTTCTTAGGCTATCAACAGAGAGAACCAAAACCAGCTTTTCAGAGTGCTCAGCAGTAATATCTGCTTTTTTTGAATGCTTACGTTTTATAATGCAACAAAACTTAGGTGAGAAAGAGATTGAAGAGATGCTCGTCAATGATCAGGTATTTATAATGTGAAAATCATCAGTGCCTTTGCACACTGACTATAAAGAATCAAGCTCATTTTGTCTTGTTGCCATTTTATTAATTAGCCTTCCTTGTAAAGATTTTATTTTTATAATTTACAAATTGAGTAATGTGTATTTATGACCAGATAAATAAAAATTCTTTACTGTCAGTTGCTAGCATAATACCATAATGCATAAGTACTAGTTAGTCTCTGGATGTACAAATCCTAACTGTTTTAGAGAGTTGCAATGCAAAACAGAATTTAGAAGATGTTATTTGTGTTCTTTTGCATTAAGTTTAAATTATGCAGTAATCATCTTGTTGCTTCTAAAATATTCAAGTATCTTTATCCTTTTGCGAACAATTGTGCTTGGCTTTTAGAACCAGTGATGAGAGTAGGTTCTGGAATATGGTTCCTTATGGTAGGAAATTAATTAATGAAATTGTATAAGCCTAGATCCTAGTTGATGTCTCAGATAGTTAACTTCTCTTCTCTTTGTAATTTAAGAAAAAGGGTTCTGAATTCTGTGGGTCCTATATGTCTTTCATATTGGCTTAGAAAAAAGCCAGAAACTTGCATAAATTCAGAACATGTAAAGAAAACTTTATTATTTGTTAATGACCAATAATCTTGGTCAATTATATCATAGAAAAGAAATAATTCAGGGGAGTGCAGTGAAACCATTGAGCTCTTTGTATGATATGAAAATGATCTTCAAGTTAACTCTTTTCAGAGATCTGGGGAAAAATCCATGTTTTTCAGCTATTAAGTATAAAATTATAATTATAATGTTTTACAAATGCCTTGTTTAAATTTTAATTCTCCTGAAAACTGAACTTTTATAATTCTACATCCTCTTTCAGTTGATTCCTTTTATTGATGCAGTTCTCAAAGACCCAAGATTGCAAGATGGGCAGCTGTTTAACCATTTAGCAGAAACTTTAAATTCCTGGGAAGCCAAAGCAGATATGGAAAAAGATGATAAAGCAGCTCACAACTTGGAGAAAGTGCTACTAAATTTCTGGGAAAGACTGTCAGAGATCTGTGTTGAGAAAATCAATGAGCCAGAAGCTGATGTGAAGTCTGTTTTGGGTGTATCTAACCTATTACAGGTCCTTCAGAAGCCGAAGAGCTTATTGAAGTCAAATAAAAAAAAAGTTGGTAAGGTTAGATTTGCTGATGAGAGGCCTAAAAGTAATAAAGAGAACGAAAAATGTGTCTCCTCAGAAGGAGAGAACAGTGAAGTCTCTGAATTAATGGCTGAACCTTCTCTCACTCATAATTGTTCAGACATTATATCTCCACTAAGGAAAAAACCTTTGGAAGACTTAGTCTGTAAGCTAGCAGAGATGAGTATTAATTATGTCAATGAACAAAAGTCAGAGCAACATCTAAGGTTTCTTTCCACTCTGCTCGACTCCTTCTCTTCAACGCAAGTATTTAAAATGCTACTAGGTGATGGAAAACAGAGTATTGTCAAAGGCAAACCTCTTGAAATAACCAAACTTGCACAAAAAAATCCTGCAGTGCAGTTTTTATACCAGAAACTAATAGGTTGGCTAAATGAAGATCAAAGGAAGGATGCTAGTTTCTTGGTGGACATTTTGTACAGTGCCCTCCGTTGCTGTGACAATAATATGGAAAGGAAAGATGTCTTGGATGATCTAACTGAGGTACTCTTGTTGTATATCTTTTTAAACTGTAATGGTTTACACTGGTACGCTCAATATAGATGAGTAGAATGAGACCTGCATAGGGGTTATTTTTGGATTGTTTCTTGACTATGAATGTCAAATTAAAGACAAGCAATAGGGGCTGGCCCAGTGGTGTAGCGGTTAAGTTTGCACACTCTGCTTCGGCAACCCAGGGTTCACGGGTTCGGGGCTCCATGCGGACCTACGCACCGCTTATCAAACCGTGCTTGTGGCAGGCGTCCCATATATAAAGTAGAGGGAGATGGGCACGGATGTTAGCCCAGGGCCAGTCTTCCTCAGCAAAAAGAGGAAGATTGGCAAGAGATGTTAGCTCAGGGCTAATCTTCCTCACCAAAAAAAAAAAAAAAACAAAAAAACCCAAAATAAAGACAAGCAATGTATTCTTGATTGTGCTTGAAAAGTGTGTGAGACTTCTGGGTAGGTGTTCAGTAAGTATGTTAAGATGACAAAAGTTGATAATAAAACGGTAAGGGCTTTCAGTCCATAGTTTTTAAAGCTGGGCTAGCTAAAAAAGTTTTGGTTTTGTAGTGGTTACATGGTTTATATTTACTTGTAAAAAGTTTTACTATTTCTTCTAGCAGATTGTTTCTAACTCTTTTTCCTCTTTCAGGTGGATCTGAAATGGAATTCTATTCTTCAGGTCATTGAAAAGGTATCTCAGGGACTTGTTTCTTTTTCATTTTTTGTATGGATATAGAGAAACTAAAATTACGGTCATACTCACACACTGGTATGTGGCCGGGTGTTTATGTTAGAGAACTTCCGTCTTATTGTAACTTTATTCCCATAATTTGGGAAGACATTGGTGTTTGCCTTTCTGTAGTATTATTTTTCTCGTTAGGAATATCAGGGAAGAATGAACAGGCTCTGGAAAAATCAGTGTTTCTTCCCTGGTACGTAACACAGGGAGAGTTAAAAAAACATTTTATTATCTTGTAAACTAAAGCTACAGGTTTCTGCTCTTTTCCTAGTTACTTTTTCTTCTATAGACGTGGATTGAGTGGTTCTAGCTTTGCCTAGAACGCATCGGAAATTAAGTTTGTCTTATTCTGGAATACTATACAGACAAATTAAAATCTTCTAGCCTTTGATTGCCACTTGACAAAATAAGAAAATTAGCGATAAGAATAGTGAAAAGTAATCAAGGAACATAAATAATTTAGAAATTTAAAAAAATGGCTTAAGTATTCTTTCCTTATGAAGATGTAAATGATATAACTTAACACTTTTCCAACCATAGAAATGTTATGACTAGCTACCTAAAATTATTCTTTTTTTAGTATTTTTTAATTTTACATAGACAACTCTTTAATTCACAAGTTTCTTATTTTCTTTTAAAATTATGGTAAAAAATACATTAACCTAAAATTTTCCATCTTAACCATTTCTGACTGTACAGTTCAGTAGTGTTAAGTATATTCACATTATTGTGCCACTGATCTCCAGAACTTTTTCTTCTTGCAAAACTGAAACTCTGTACCCATTAAATAATAACTCCCCATTTCCCCAATAGATATTTTTACAAAATAAATACAGACTACTAATTTACTGTTTTTCAGAGAGAAATATTACTTATCAGGCACACCATTTGCCTTACTTTATCCAGTACTTTCTCTCCCTATAGGCAGGCTACATGAAAAGTCAAATTATCAGAAAGCTGCTTGATAAATCTAGAATCAGAGCAAAGGGAAGTAATAATTTGATAAGAGAAGACTGATATGTCCATTTCCAACTTAGGAATGTACCTGCCAGGTAGTTTAGATACATCTGTTGGGAGGACTGTTCTCTTCCTGAGCAGTGTTTGGAAGTTCTTAGGTAGTGTTTGCCCCCTATACTTCTATGACTAACTAGCCTCCCCACCCGCTTGAAGCTGATCAGATTCTTTTTGTCAATACATTGAAACATTGAGAAGTTGAACATCATGTCTTGATAACCTGAGAGACATTTTATTTAGAAGTTTATTTTCTGGATTCTGTAGGATTCTATAAAATATATTGGTTTATTTGGTAAACTATGTTAGGAAAGCCAAAGTATAGCCATCTAAATTCTAATTTTTCTTATTTTTATGCATACTTTAAGAGCAGAGTCCTAAAGTCAGCTTCTTTAGAAACAACCCTGAATTTTGTAACCAGAAAAGGACCTTAGAGATTTTCTAGGTTAATCTTTATTTTTCAAAATAGGAAATAGGACCAGGTTGGTTAAGAGATTTGCCCAAGGTCATAAAGCCAGAATAGTGGTAGAGCTTGGGCTAGGATAAAAGCTCTGGTTACCAACACTTTTTTAAATAAAAGCATAACGGTTTTTCAGGCACTACCCAATCCACATTTGGATTTTTTTTTTCCAGATTGCTTTGAAATGAACCAAGTTGCAAATTCCTTTCTTCTCAGCCATTAAAGCAAAAGAAGCTCTGGGAACATGGATCAGCATGCTTTTGGGGGTGGATTTACAGTTTTTTTCCTTGCTTCTCTCCCCCATGAAAATAAATCAGCTGCTGTCAGATATCTGGCTCCAGTAACTATTTCAGAGAATTTAGGGAAGTAATAATAAGTCCCACCTTTCATACTGAAGTAATTTACCACGAATATATAGTAATTGTTCTTTAATTTTAGCAAAATTAATGAACAAAAATTTAGTATCTATAGAGTGTTTTAAAATCTGTCTTGGAAGTTCATCCATTCATTATTCATTGAACATATCTCCAGTGTTGATAGCAGATGTCAAAGAAGTTTAAGACAGTCTCTGCTCTCAAGGAACTTACAATCTCATTGGAAACAAGACATACACAGATGAAACATTAGAAATAATATTACAATTCAGTAAGTGCTTTAGAAATTCAGAGAAAAGCAGTGATGAATAGGGGCTGAAGTGGATGGGGGAGACTTCATAAAGCAGGTGGGATTTGTATTGATTCTCAAAGAATGGATGGGATTTTCATAAGTAAAGAAGTGGGGGAGTATTTACGGTTGGGAAGATAGCATGAGTAAAGGATGGCCGTGTACGTAAGCACGGCTTAGTAGGGAACAAGGAAGATAGATACCAGCCTTCTTAGAACCTTAGTACGAGGAGTGGGGGATAGTGTTGGGGCTATAATGATGAAGGGAGGCAATATGGTACAAGTACTATTTTAGGCAGATATACTTTTTGATCTTGCTTCTAATCTTTTCTTTAATTTTATGGTTTTAGGCGTGTTCTAGTTCAGATAAACATGCTTTAGTAACTCCTTGGCTAAAAGGAGATATCCTTGGAGAGAAATTGGTAACCTTGGCAGATCATCTTTGTAATAAGGACTTGGAATCCACAGGATCTTCTGAATCTTATTTCTCAGAAAGATGGACTCTTCTAAGCTTGGTATTATCCCAACATGTTGAAAATGGTAGGCAAAAATGTGGCTTTTGTTTTTTAGTAGGGAATAATCTTTTCACTTTTTGGGAGGATTCCGTGTTGCTCAGTTTGCATGTTACTGGTTGAGAGTAACAAGACTTAGTTCATCCAAATGTCTTAATTTTGTAAGCACCCTAAATGTTTATTAATCTTTGTAGCATGACTTGGAAGGCATTTAATATTTTTCGTTTCATATTCTAAAGGGTTTTGCATTTAGCAAAGCTGTTCACTCTAATTTTGTAGAGAATTGCTTTTTTTGCTTAATTTAAAACTGCTTTCTTACATGAGGGCTTTTATGTGTGAGAGAACAGACTTATTTGTTGGTATCATTTTCTTTTGTCTAATACATAAACACTTGTTTTTTAAACACATGGAAAGACCCAAGTGGTTGTTAACCCAAAGTAAGGTGTTCAGCAATGCACTGTTAATATTTTTTATTTTTTGTCTGTGTGAAATTTTTTTCCCTAGATTACTTGATTGGAGAAGTATATGTTGAAAGAATTATTGTTAAACTTCACGAAACTTTATCCAAAACAAAGAAATTGTCAGAAGCTGAAAATAATGACTCATCAGTGTCTTTTATCTGTGATGTGGCCTATAACTATTTCAGCTCAGCGAAAGGATGCTTGCTAATGCCATCATCTGAAGATTTATTATTAACTCTCTTTCAGTTATGTGCTCAGAGCAAAGAAAAAACACATTTGCCAGGTAATAGCCTACTGCTCAAATGTTTTGTTGGGAATCTCCGGCTCTGACCTTCATAGTGTAAGTGCCCAGGCTTTATTAATTGAATCATAATATGTTTTGAAAGTTGAAAGCATTTTGAGTAAAAGGCTACAAATCTTAAACACTTTCAGCTTTAGAAACCAAGTTAAAGATGAATGTAGATGTTATGTCTAAAGTTCTTACTTGATATCAATGAAACAGTTTTGGAAGAGACCATGATAGATGAATTAGAATCTTAGCCTCTTCGCTCAGTAACTCTGGCAAGTTGCTTAATTTCTTGATGCCTCACTTTCTGCATTCATAGAGGGGGATATTAATATCTCCTCTTATAGTTAAAAACATTCAGTCTTGGTGTATATCAAAATGAAATGGTGATTGCCTGTTTAAGGACTATATTCTTGCCTCATATGTTAATTCAGACTTATTTACGAAAGGAATATAAAAAAATACTGTTGATAGAGAGCCCTCCTCCCCAACCCTTTCTTTAATACTAACTACTGTGTTTGGAAAAGATATAATACTTTTCACATCTTCAAAAGGACAACTCTCTTGTAAATAAGTTACGAGCAGAAAAAAACTAACTTTAAAAATCTTAGCAGTTTTATATTTATATGGCATGAGCTAGCTTGTCTTATTGCATATTTATGACATAGTTATTTTGTTTTAGCAGTTGCTTAGTAATTTTATGTTTTCTTTTTTTAATGGTACCTTAAAAATCTTGTATTTGCCATGAGTTCTTTCAGACATTTTGTATTGATTGTAGTTATTTCAGAGGGATTACAAGTTACTCTTGACATCTTGATTTTAGACTTTCTTATCTGTAAACTGAAAAATACTTGGCTCTCTGGTGTGAATTTATTGGTCCATCAAACTGGCAGTACATATAAACCGAGTACCTTCCTACGTTTGTCTGCTCTATGGCTGAAGAACCAAGTTCAGTCTTCATCTTTGGATATCAAAAGGTAACCTTTTTATGCTCAGTTGCACAGTATCTCTTTAATACTTGATCACTGTCCTTAAATAAGATTCCATCATTAGTGTGAGTGCCCATGAAAAATGACTTGTTTCATAAGAAATCTACCAATTCTAGGAGAAGATCCAAACAGATTTTTCCAAAAGGATTTTGTTTTAATGATCGTCTTCTTAAACTCACTTAATTGAAGAATGACTTGTTACAGCATATCTGCTGGACTCCTAATTTATGGTCAGTGAAGTGATGGTGGTGCTATCCCGTGTCTTAGGCTGGTGTGCATTGTCATCGTAACCTCTCACGGCCACCACACATAGTGATTGTATTATCTTGGGGTTTGGTAGCCACTGTTTTAAGGTGTTGAATTGCAAATATATTTCACATCTCTTACCTAAATCCATATGTAAAAGTGAAAACTAAGAGAATGCATCCAGAGGCTGTTGGGGTTGGGTCAAATCTTTTTCTGGTCATCATGTTCTTTTCATGTAATAAGGTAGCTGTGTTTCAGAAATACCTAAAATAGGTCAGGTGCCTTCATTCTGAGATAGGAGCAGCACTCAGTTTCAAATCATAAATGTTGGATTAAGTCCCCAGTTTGACTGTGTGTATGTTGCTGGGGGTGGGTAGAGGGGTCACTTACCTTTATTTTTATTTGTCTTTTTGTTCAAGTAAGCTATTAACCGCCACAGGATATTTAATATGTACCAGGGTGTTCAAGTTAATCATAGCATAACTACAACAGTTAAGTTCTTCGCATCATTTTCAGTCTTCAAGACCTCTTGTCTACTGTTGATGACTTGCTAAATGCGCTTCTAGAGAGTGAAGATACCTATCTTCTGGGAGTTTATATTGGAAGTGTAATGCCAAACAACAGTGAGTGGGAAAAGATGAGACAATCTCTTCCTATACAGGTATGTTTGAGATTAGAGAGAAAGTGCTTATCTCATTCTGAAGTTTGGATTTAATGCAAGCTTAAAGATTTTTATTTTATTCTGGGGAGGAAATCGAGTATCTTACTTTGCCTTTTGGTCTCTGAATGCTCATATATTGGATATTTGCTGTTTGCGAGACACCAGTTGACACTGGCAGTTGCCATGGTACAAAGCGAATAAGACCAAGTTCTGTCCTAATGGAGTCTTAAAGAAATACACATGTTGGGCCGGCCCCGTGGCTTAGCGGTTGAGTGAGTGCGCTCCACTGCTGGCGGCCCGGGTTCGGATCCCGGGCGCGCACCGATGCGCCGCTTCTCCGGCCATGCTGGGGCCGTGTCCCACGTGCAGCAACTGGAAGGACGTGCGGCTATGGCATGCAACTATCTACTGGGGCTTTGGGGGGAAAAATAAATAAATAAATAAAATCTTTAAAAAAAAAAAGAAATACACATGTTGATAATTTCCTTTAGTAGAAACCAAACTTCTAGGCTTCTGTGGTTTTACTAATAAACTAATAATAACTTCATTTTTGACATTATACTAGTAACATTTTGAAGATAATCTAATGACTTCATTTTTATTCCCTAATTGCATAGGTAGTAAATGGTTTATAATATGTGATGATTTATAATATGTGATGATTTTGTGTATAATTTAATGTATTCTTTTTACAGTGGTTGCATAGACCTCTTTTAGAAGGAAGATTGAGTTTGAATTATGAGTGTTTCAAAACAGATTTTAAAGAACAAGATACAAAGAAGCTTCCCAGCCATTTGTGTACTTCAGCATTATTGAGCAAAATGATATTGGTTACACTGAAAAAGGAAATAGTCCTAGAAAATAATGAGCTTGAGAAAATAAGTAAGTATATATGAGCATTCAGATATAATATAAATGTAAATTTTGAAATAATTTTAAGTATAATTTTGAAACAATTTTGATTACACTGCAATTTAAATCTTTAAAGAATCAAGAATCTTTAGCTCCTATTCACTATTTTAGTGATGAGAAACTTGAGGTTACTTAGGTGATGAATGTTAAATTGCAAATCAGGTGGAAACATGCTGAGATCTTGCTGTAATCTTGTTAGCTGTAGAGCAGAATTTGGTATAAGATCAGTTACTCAAGGTGGCATGACATAAGCAGATCCTATGGCACATAACCCTAAAGAAAATGGTTGAGTCAGTCTGATGTTTCATCAAGGATTTTGAATTTCCAGTTACTTTTTGAACCACTGTACCTTGTATTCATAGGGCTCTAGTTTTTTTCCTGGCAAGTGGAGGTTCAAATGTTGAATCTCAAGAAGATTTAGGATTTCAGAAAAATTCCCCCATTCCAAGAAATAGTATAGAATTGCAAGTAGCAGGGTGACCTGTACAAAATGGTATTAAAGGTAGAGGATTTGTATACTTCCTGTGTCAGTCATGTTTGTAAGACGTGAGCTGTACCACAGTTACTAGTAGAGGGGAATCTATGCCCTGTGGAAGAAGGCTGGGACACCTTTGGCTAGCCAGCTCCATGTGCAGTTAAGGGCAGGGACATTCACCTGCAGTTTCCATTGCTCACGGAGTGAACCTGTCCAAAAACAAAACTGGAAATTAGAGTAATATTTTTTGTAATAACTTATTTTTATTAATTGTGTTACTGATTGCAAACTGACAACACTGTGTATTTAATCTTATCATTAACCCTATCAGTTAGATATTTTTATTGTTGTTTATCTTATCTTGACTTGATTAGAGTTAGTTTAGCTTGTAAGCGGTAGGATTAGATTTTGAACCAGGTCTCAAGTCTTCTGACTCCAAAATCCATACATGGCTTTATAAAAGAGAGTTGTGACTTTAAAAACCTACCTCACTGTTTAATGAGGTAGATTGTAGTATCCTAATTGATAACTATATATACAGCTCATTTGAATCCAGACCAGTCTGTCACCAAAGCCCATACCCTGTGATTACTGTGTCATGCAGTCTCCCATCTCTTAACACATTGGCTTGAACATCTCATCTCAAGTCTTGGGTCCCTTAGTTGTTTATCCTATATGCAACTTCTTACCACTTGTGGCAAAAATAGTAGGAAGATTCTTCCAGTATCTCTGGTAACGTAGGTCCCTGTCACATTCTTAACTACTCAGAAAAGGTACCTAGTAAGATTTGGGAGAGGAGTGGTATTTTGTATCAGACAGATGTTCTTGGTTTTCATTATCATTGAACATCTCAAAGCAGATTTGAAGTCAGTTCGTAGATATTTGGAGATTAGTGGGCACAGCAGTGTTAGAAAATGGGGCAGAGCAGTGCAAATGATGGAAAGGTCTGTTCACACAGTGCGCTTGATAACATGTTGTCCATTCTGTTAGTTGCAGAACTGCTCTATTCACTGCAGTGGTATGAAGAATTGGACAATCCATCTATTTTTCTAACTGGATTTTGTGAAATGCTTCAAAAAATGAATATTACATATGATAACTTATGTGGACTTGGTAATACTTCTGGCCTTTTGCAGCTGTTATTTAACAGGTAAGAATCCCTTTCAATTTCCATTTTTTTAATGACTGTTTCACTAGTTTATGGCTTTGTTTCAGTAAAATGTAAGTCCACTTCATGCTAATCTTTCAATCAGAAGGTTGATCTAAATTAATCCCAATTATTAATGATAAATACTTTGTGGAAACTAAGTACTTGATTTACTCTTCTGGGGAGATATTTGGACTTTGCCTGTGTTATTAAATCTGTAAATTCATTCAAGGGGTAGATGTCAATGAAAGAAATAGAAACCTGTAGAAGTTGTTTTAATTTGTCATCTGTGACCCATCCTCCCACTACTCTCAAATTTAACCTTTTACCTCGCATGTTGTTACAGGTGTGTTGATACTATAACCACAAAACCCTCTCCCCTAGATGAGGAAGTCGGTGTGGAAACAGAGTCATAGAGGTTATAGCAGAAGTTTAGCTTGTTAAAATTGCTACATTGAACTACTTTCTCTTTAAGAGTTTTTCACTGGAATCTTTCTGGTTGAGTATGCTTTGCAGTATCAGAGACCCCAGGCTGTACAGGTCTTCCTCTACAGTCCCACTCCACATACTTAGAACTTTCTTCAGCGGATGTTAATACCTCCTTGGTTCCTCAACTTAAAGCAGCCTGGGTATCCTCTGGGGGGTGTCCTCTGGGGTATGTCCTTGTACCAGCTGTAGCCTCTGGTCCTCAAGCCTCATCTTTAAGGTTATCTCCCCTATTGGGACTTGAGGGGTTTTGGGATTGCCTGGGGATGGGAGCTCAGTACCAGTGGTGAAGTGTCAGAAGCCTAAGCTCCTAATCCTTTCGGTAATGGCAGTTGTTTGGGTGCAAAAATCCTGTGTGAACGGATACCCTCACAAGGTGATTTATTTAATTCTGTAAAAGAAATCCAGGTAAACAGTGTTTAAAAATCTTAAGTACATTTTCAAAACAGATTTTTTTTTTTCCCTTTTTTAGGTCCAGGGAAAATGGCACCCTTTGGTCTCTTATTATTGCTAAGTTGATCCTTTCCCAAAGCGTTTCATCTGATGAAGTAAAACGGCATTATAGGAGAAAAGAAGGGTATTCTTATTTAAAATGTTTTTACTTTGTAATTTATTGTAATTGGTCACCTTGGCAACCCCCAACTAACAAAAAATTTCTAATGAATCAAGAAAACAGGGTTTAGGAAATGAGGAAATTACATTAAAGGAAATGAGAATTAAAGACTTCAAAACAATTTCAATTGTTTTAGGTTTGGGACACACCTTTTTTAAATAAGCACTTTTAACTTTATAATATTTTGTTGTGGAATTTTATACTTGTTTTAAACAATTAGCCTTTCATAAACTTGTTCTGTTTTCCCCCGAAATCTTTCTGGTTGAAATCTTTCTTTTTCCCCTCCCTACATCTTTGTTCTATCACTTTATTTGGAAGTGATAGGGAAAGTTACTTACTCTTCTCTTAAATAAGGATCATCCCATTGAAGTCTATTCTAGAAATGCAATAAATGTGTTCTTAAGACAAAGAAATAGATTATGGAGTTGGACATCCTAGAGATATACTAGAGTTAATTATACTAGAGAAGCTGAGCATTCAAATTAAACACTTAGCTGAAATTTACCAAGGGGCATTTTGAACTTAGTGATTTACCAAGAAGAATTCTGAAATGATATGTGTATGTTCTGGGACAGTAGAATTGTAAACTAAATTTCAATTTTTTTTATCTTATTTAAAAATTTTTAAAACATTATTTTGAGGTAATTATAGATTTACATGCAATTGTAAGAAATCATACAAAGAGATTCCACATATCCTTCATTCAGTTTCCTCCAGAGGTACCATTTTGCATAACTTTAGTACAATTTCACAACCAAGAAAATGGTATTGATACAATCCATTGACCAAGTTTACAGGCACTCATTTGTGTGTGTGTTCTGTGTAGATCGCATATTTGATCACCACCATCACAGTCTAAGATACAGGATAGTTTTATCGTGAGGATCTCTTGTGTTGCCCTTTTATAGCCACAGCCATCTCCCTTCCTCCCATTCTCCTCATCTCTGGCAACCAATAATCTGTTCTCTCTCCCTATAGTTATATCATTTAGAAATGTTATATAAATGGGATCACACAGCATATGACCTTTTGATATTGGCTTTTTTATCCAGCATAATTAAAAAATTTTTTCTGATTATAAAAGTAATAGGCAATTAAAGAACTATTAGAACTAATTACTAATGAGACGGATATATGCTTGACATACAAAAATCAATAACTTTCTTATTTACCAGTAATAATCAATTAAAAAATGGCATAGGAAAAAAATTCTATTCACAAGGACAACAAAACTATAAATACTTAGAAATAAATATAACAAAAAATTACAATTATAAAACTTTAGTAAAGATCACAAAAGATGGGAAGATAAATTGTAAAAATGGTTGTATCAATCTATAATTTCAATGCTTTCTCAATCAAAATTTTAGCAACATTTTTTGAAAAACTTGACAAACTGTTCTAATCATAGTATGCATTTGAAGGAAAAAATGCTCAAGAATAGCTAGAAAATTCCTGAAAGAGAAAAATGAAAAGGACTTGCCCTGCCAATACAGTGATTAAGCAGTATGAAATTGGTGAATAGACAAACCAGTAGATCAAAATACAGAGTCCAGAAACCAATCCACTCATATATGAGAATTTAGTTTTTGATACAGGTGGCCTTTCAAATCAGTGAGGTGAGTCAGTAATAAATGATGTTAGGAAAATTGGATATGTGTTTGAAAAAAATAGTGAGACCCCTCCTTGACATTATACTTAAAGTCCAGATGCAAGCTACATATAAAGAACAGAGCTATGAAAGTATCAGGGGAAAAGAAGAGACCGTGTATAATCTCGGCATGGGGAAGATTTTCTTAAGCAAAGCACAAAACCCAGAATCCATAAAAGAAATGGTAGATATTTGATTTTGTAAAAATGAAAACTTCTAGCAACTTAAGTGCCCATCAACAGATGAATGGATGAAGAAAAATGTAGTATATAATACAATGGAATATTATTCAGCCTTAAAAAGGAAAGAAATTCTGACATGCCACAATATGGATGAACCTTGAGGACATTATGCTAAGTGAAATAAATGAGTCACAAAAAGACAAATACTTTATGATTCCACTTACATGAATTACCTAGAGAAGTCAAATTCATGGAGATAGAAAATAGAATGGTGGTTGCCAGGGGCTGAGAGGAGAGGAGATGGGGAGTTCTTGTTTAATGGATAGAGTTTTAGTTTTGTGAAATGAAAAGAGTTCTGGAGATTGGTTGCAACAACAGTGTAAATGTACTTAACACTACTGAACCGTACACTTAAAAATAGTTAATATGGTAAATTTTGTTACATGTATTTTACCATAATTAAAAACTTTTTAAAAAAGAAGCACAGAAGACTTCTGTATGACAAAAATACAGTAAACAAAGGTTAAAGGACAGGTGACAAAATGGGAGAAAACATTTGCAAATTAACAAAGAATTGATATCCATAATATATAAATAGCTTCTATTAATTAGTAAAACTATCCAAATTAGAAAATGTGTCAAGGACTTGAACAGGTAATTCATAGATAAAATAGTTAATGGTACAGTAGTCCCCACTTGTCTGTGGGGAATACGTTCCAAGACTCCAGTGGATGCCTGAAACCATGGCATCCGAATACCGTATCTGCTATGTTTTTTCCTATACTTACATACCTGTGATAAAGTTTAATTTATAAATTAGGCACAGTAAGAGTAACAACAATAACTACTAATAAAATAGAACGATTATAACAATATACTGTAATAAAAGTTACCATAGATCTTAGCAACCTCAGCATATGATTTTTTTGCTTTCCTTATTAAGTCAAGAACTTTCACCTTTTCACTTAAAGGAAGCACTATAGGGCTTCTCTTTGGCATGTCTGAATTGCCAGCATTGCTACTCTTGTGCTTTGGAGCCATTATTAAGTAAAATAAGGGTTACTTGAACACAAGCACTGCGATACTGTGACAGTCAATCTGATAACGGAGATGGCTTCTAAGTGGCTAATGGGTGGGTAGCGTATACAGCGTGGATACGCTGGACAAAGGGATGATTCATGTCCAGGGTGGGATGGAGCTAGACAGCATAAAATTTCATCATGCTACTCAGAACAGCACACAATTTAAAACTTATAAATTGTTTATTTCTGGAATTTTCCATTTAATATTTTCAGACCGCAGCTGACTGTGAATAACTGAAACCACGGAAAGCGAAAGCATAATTCATTTATGAAATATGAAATATGAAAGGATTTCCCTTACCAATATTAATGACAGAAATACAGATTAAAAGAAGCACATTTTATCTACCATGTTGCCAGGAATTAAAAAGATTTATTAAGTGTGCAGCAAAACAGTCACACTTGTACACTTTTGGTGAAAGTGTAATTACACTTTTTGGAAAGCAATTTGAAATTAAGAAAATATAATACATTCAGATCCTTTGATCTTGCAATTCTACTTCTAGAAATCTAACCTAAAGAGGTATTTGCACATAGACAGAATGATATCTGCTCAAGGACATTTATTCTAGCGTTACTTGTAAGAGCAAAAATTTGGGGAAAATCCCTAAACGTTCACTAATAGGGAAATAGTTAAATTATGATAGTATGGAATATTTTTGTTTTTGTTTTTAATTTTAATTTTTGTTACATAGCTTTAAAATGAGAATAATTATACCCATATGTTCTGATGTGGAAAGATCTACAAAGTTTGTAAGTGGCAAATAATTCAATAGTATGTTTAGTGTGCTCTCATTATGTAAATAAACCCAGCTATATATTTGCACGTATATGAATATCAGTTCATAGAAAGGACATGCACCTGGCACTGTTTAAATGGAATTAGTTGACTCTTTAAAGAAAGCATAATCATGTATTGTTTGTGTAATTTTAAAAATTCCTACATGGGGAAAAGTTATATATGCTTATTTTAAAAATTAGAAATGTAAAAAAAAAAAGAAAGAAGCAGCAAAACATAATTATCCACAATTTCATCATCCAGAATCAACAAATGTCCATCTCTTTTCATAGTTTTATGTTTTTCCTGTAGAATTATTTTATATAGCGGAATTATTAGTCTTTTTGAATAGTCTGAATGAGAAGAATTTTCTGAAATAACTGCATATTTAGGATAAATGTAATTCATACTTTTTCTTTAAACAGTTTTTTTCCACTAACAGAAGGTAATATGCATACCATTCAAAGTCTCTGTCCATTTTTGTCAAAAGAAGACAAGAAAGAATTCATTGCTCAGTGTATACCTGCCCTTTTGGCCTGGACTAAGGAAGATCTTTGCAGTACTAATGGTTAGTTGCTTGATAATAAATATTTCATTAATTTAATTATTGCTTGAGATGAAAGAAGTGTTTCTTAATGTCTAAACCCAAATCTAGCAGAGATAAATTGAATTATAGCTGATTTATTCCTAGTTTATACTTTTGCTACATAACAAGTTGACAGTCAATAGCCTGAGTGTCATTGGAGTGTGGCTGTTATCATTTTGTAGCACAGAAATGCTATAGCCTTAAGAGAAGATTGACAATCACAAATACAGTCTAATCATTTCTTTTCCATCTGTAGCTTTTTTAGCTATGCCTCATTTCTCCCTAGTCAACCAATGATTGAACATATAAAGGCAAAAGAGGGAATAGCTTTTGTTGTATTTTAAACTTTTTGGATACTCTGCACCCTATTAGTTCATTTGTTTATTAACTTAATAAATACTTATTGAGCACTTGCTTTGTTCCTTTTGTAGAGAACACAGACATAAAATTATGTGATAACTGATGTAGCAAAAAGATGTCTTGTGTGTGAAAGTGGCAGAAAAGGAGTTTTCCCCTCTGCTTTGAGGTGTCAGTGGTGATTTCACAAAGAGAAGTATTTCAACTGAGTGATGAAGGATAGTTTTCCCTATGGACATAGTTGGGGAAAAGGCATTCCAGGTACACAAAAACATAAAAGAGTGCAGATGGTTCAGTTTGGCTAGCATTTAAGGTAGAAGGTTGGGAACAAAGGATGTTAGGATGCACAAGAAGATGGATTTTGAGAAATGGTGGGGAACAGTTCATAAATGCCTGATTTTGTAGGTTAAGGAATTTGGACTTTAAGCAGTAGGCAGTAAGGAGCTTTTGGCCCACATTAGATAGGAGAGTAGTAAGACTATCACATATACATTGGAAAGATTATTTTGACAACTGTATGAAGAGTGAATGTGAGAGAAGAGAGATTGGGGGTAGAAGACCAGAAAGGAAGCTATTGGAATAGTCTTAATAAAAGATAAAGAGAGCTTAAATCAAGGCATAGGTGGAAGAGAGGAGATGGAAATGAAAGAGATTAAGGAAATAGAATTGATGGGGCTCTCTGATTATATTTCTGGATAGGGTAGATGGACGTACCATTAGACCTTATAGAAAACCCTGTGGCAGACCGAGGGTTGGGAGGAGGATAAGGAAGGAGTATACAGGGAGCTAATGTTAAGTTTTAGACACATTAGATTAAGGTGGCTATGGAATAAATATTCAAATGGAGATTTTTGGCAAGCAATAGGCTGTTGACTGGATGGAAATACTGCTTTTGAAGTCCACATCGTGTAGGTGGTATTAGTATAATCTATAAATGAGGATGAGCTTATCCAGGGAGAGTGAATGGAATACCAAGGGAACACCGGTACATAGATTTAAGGGGTATGTGGGTGGAGGGAGACTTGAGAATAAGGACTACACATAAAGAAAAGGGAAGCAAAGGAGGAATTTTAGGTAATATTCATCACCTGTGTTAAATGCCACAGAAGGTTAAATAAAATTAGAGACTAAGAAGTGTCCATTGGCTTTGGCATTGTTGGAATGAACAGTGGTGAGAAGGTTGAGCCAGATAGTCTGTTCTAGGTGCTTGGTGAAAAGGGACGTAGGAAAAAGGTGAAAGCTGGAGGTGAATATAAGGTCAGAGTTTGGAAAATATGTGTTGTGAGGAGAAGGAGGAATAGAAAATAGAGACAGGGAATAATTGATAATAGTTCCCAGTGAAAAGATGAGAGGGGAGGGCAAGTCGGATGAGATCTAAAGCATAGTTAGAAGATATGAACCTTGTGTAGGTTGAGTGACTTTCTTCTGACACCAGGTAAGGAGAAGTGTAGGATGGATGTAGATGTGGATATAGAGGGGGTTGGGAACTTCCTGTGTTCCTTACTAATAAGCATCATGTCTCTTCAGGCTAGGTTGTTTAATGAATGGAAACTGGATTGTAGATTTTAAGAAGGGTAGTGCAAGTTTGAAATAGTGGAAGAAGATGCTCATCAAAACATTAATCAAAAAGAATTGCCACATGGCACCAAGGGCCAGCCAATGTCAAAAATTAATTTTTGTGGCATTAAGCTTCATGGTTGAGTTCACCTACAGAGTTAGACTGTGGGATTAGGTTAGGATTTGCAGTTCTGGCATGAGGATGCAGTTGAACTGACTGTGCGTGGAGGAAAGGAGTGCCTAATGGGAGTGCAGGTGATTTCTCCAGCTCACGTTATAACTGGAGGGTGGCAGAGAGGAGGAAGGGGCAGGAGATGGAGCTGTGGTGTCTCACGACTCTGCTGTTCACACAGACCAGAAAGACCAGAAGGTGCACAGCTGCGTGGAGGCCCAAGAGGAGGAGGATGTTTTTGAGATTTGACAATCAGTTTTGCTCTGCCAGCCAAAGTGATGAAACAGAATTAGCCAACAAATACTTTTTAGTCATTAGAAAATCAGTTGTTGCTGATTACACTTGAGCCTCTTCTGTTTTGCCAGGAAGATTAAAAAAATCTGCCTTTAAAGGACGATTAAATACATTATACTTTTTTCCCTTTCTTCCTTGGTTCCCTTTGGCTACAGGATAAAAACCTAAGTCCTTAGTTTGGCCACTGAGACATTTTACCATCTTACTGCAACTGATCTCTTCACTTTTACCTCTTTTGCTTCCACCCTGGACCCTGGCCGTGCTACATTCTCATAATTTTGGAACAGTCTGTACTTTTTTATGACTTTGTGCCTTAGCACTCCATGGAGTGCCCCTTTGCTAGTCTTGCAGACTCTTATTTATCTTTTGATAAGTCCCGGTTCAAACGCCAACTTTGGGAAGCCTTTTCTGCCTCAACCTAGACAGATATGGTTGTTTCCTGTTCTGGGCTCCCAGTCTTTGTCCATATGATATTCTAATTTGCTTTTGAGTCTGCCAGTACTGCTAGATGAGTCCCTTTAGGGACTGGATTTTGTTAAGCTTTCTTGCCCCAGCGTCTAGCAGCGTACCTTGTATTCATTCATTTATTCATTCTTCATTTAGTCGATCAAAATAAATGTCTCTGTATCTCAGGCATTGTGCTAGGGGAGATATAGAGTGATAAGTAAGACAGACAAGGTTCCTGCTCTCATGGAGCTTACTTTCTAATTGAGGAGATAATAAGTGAACAAATATTAGTGCTATAATGGCAACAAACAAGGGATATTTGAGAGTAGAGAAATGCCGAGGGGCATACTTTATATACTTGGGAATTTTATAGAGTGGAGGCAATATTTAAGCTGAGAGTTGGAGTATACGAAGGATCCGCAGATTCTAAACTGTGAGGACCCCATAAGAGCTTTCCAGACATAGTAGATGCTCATTGAGTGAATGTATGAATTATGGAACAGTATGTTCTATTTTCCATCCTTATTTAACTTTGCACTGTAGCTATGGTTTTTTTGTTTTTATATGAGCAGTGAGTAGCTGAATAAGTCCTAAACTTAAGAAGCCAAAACAAAAAACAGCATAGGTTAGTTTAAAGCACCATAGCATTCACTTACATCCGCCCCACTTCCCTTTTCTGTGCTAGGTGCTGGGTGTGGAGACAGGGTCTGCCCTGTGGAGCTTATGAGCTTATGTGTTGACTCTTTCATATAAGCTGGGGACGTCTCAAGACAGTTTCTGACCTGTCTCAAAGTAGACTTTTTTGTAGTAGCAATATAATTTTTAAAAATTTGTTATATTTCATTTTGAATTTTACTTTAGGAGGTTTTGGACATCTTGCCATTTTCAATTCTTGTCTGCAAACCAGAAGCATAGATGATGAAGAGCTATTACATGGTATATTGAAAATTCTAATATCCTGGAAGACAGATCATGAAGATGTTTTTCTTTTCAGTTGGTGGGTGATACTTTATACTATGTTTTCCTCCCATATACAATGTGGACTCAGATTACGTATCTTAGAGTCATAGTTTTGTAGAGTAATAGGGTGGTAGACATTTACGTCAGTCTTTTATAAGTGTATAAGATTTAAAATAGAATATTTTCTAATTTAATGTCTATGTGATTCTTTAATGCTTTTCTTGTTTTGTTTTGCTTTTGTCTTTATCATAGTAATCTATCAGAAGTAAGTCCAGAGATACTGGGTGTAAATATAGAAATAATCCGGTTCCTTTCCCTATTTCTGAAATACTGCTCATCCCCTTTGGCAGAGAGTGAGTGGGACTTCATCATGTGCTCCATGTTGGCTTGGTTGGAGGTAAATGTGTCTTCATCTCTGTTGAGTCTTCATGTATATCGATATACCAGAACTATTTACTAATCTTATCCTTTAAGTAATGGTTGTAATTATAATTAGCTCCTTTGCAAACATTTAAACACTTTATAGATGTACACCAGCTACTATCTGACAGAACAGTAGAATGATAGAGGGTTAATGTCTACCAGTGTCATTCAGTGATCAGATCTCCTAACTTCTCTCCATTAGCTCATTTTATTATAAAATTTGCAACACAGCCCTTTGAGGTTTTATCATTTTGTGGCAAGTTTTTTGATCTTTTTGGTTCAAATTAAATTATTAAAGTGTGCTGTGTCACTGTTGCCAGAATAATGCCTTAGAGATAAGGCAAATTCAGAGGGAATTAGGGTTCTTTTTATGACCCAAACCAACCAGGTGTGTAAGAGTTGTGGGCTCCGATGTAGCAGGTCAGTCAGGGTTGAATTGGTCTGAATCTGTGCTTTGCCTGCTATTAGCTGTGTGGCTGAGGGTTTTAAACTTGACCTAATTGAGCCTCAGTTTCCTTATTTTAAAAGAACTTAATAATGTCCAATTAGTAGGGCTCCTGAGAAGATTATAAATGTCTTCAATGTATTTGACCTGATAAATGGTAATTGATATTACTTTCATAGTTTTAGAAATAACAAAGGGCATTTCAGAATAAATCGGTCGATTCTAATTCCTAGTATTTAGTTTTGAAAAAAAGTTATTTTGATGTAAAATATATAAATGTATCCTGAGACTATACACTTCAGCAGCTTTTTATTTAAAGGTTAGAGAAATGAAAGAGACTTCTCTTTGCTGCCTTGATTTGTGGTGTTCTGGTAGAAAAGTCTGCTTACCTGTTTCATTTTCATTTCTTCAGACAACAAGCGAGAATCATGCACTGTATTCGGTTCCACTTGTACAACTATTCGCCTGTGTCAGCTGTGATCTGGCCTGCGAGCTCAGTGCTTTTTTTGATTCCACGACTCTGGATACCACTGGCAATCTTCCTGTAAATCTAATCAGTGAATGGAAAGAATTTTTTTCCCAAGGCATCCACAGTTTGCTTTTACCTCTTTTGGTGACTGTTACAGGCAAGTGAAAAGGGGAGTAATATTGAGATTCATGAAAAATGACTTGTTGAAAAATTCAAAAAAAAAGGCTTTGGATGTTTAAGTCAAACAATACAGAATAGTAAAAGAAAAGAGTCAGAGAGAAAGCTTGGCATCTCTGAAGCATCATATAAGCTTCTGCTTTACAGACAGGAGTTGAAAAATGGTAAGGTATCCAAAGACCACTGCAAATTAAAGGAATAGTAATTCAGATAACATGAGTGGATTTTATATAACTCTAACCTCTCTCTTTCCTTTTTAAGGATGAGATAATAGAAGTCATTAAACAATTAAGATTATGTGAAATATATATTTACTTCATATTTCTAGTTAGAACTTCTCTAATATTTGTCAAGTTTTTATTTTATTTTCTTGAATTACGTTTGATTGTCTGTGAATAAGTCAAGCTGTATTACTCACTTTCTTTTGGGATGTGCATGTTTCTTCCCTTTTTGTCATCAGTAGAAAGCAAAGATACATCAGAAACATCCTTTCAGAATGCAATGCTGAAGCCCATGTGTGAAACATTAACATATATCCCAAAGGATCAGCTGTTAAGTCACAAACTCCCTGCGAGATTGGTTGGTGGCCAGAAAACAAACTTGCCAGAATATCTCCAGACTTTGTTAAATACATTGGCCCCATTACTCCTCTTCAGAGCTCGGCCTGTGCAAATTGCTGTTTATCATATGCTCTACAAGTAAGAATTCTTCCAACGGAAGCAATATTATGGTGGTCTAAAAAAATAGAATATATGTATAGTTTTAACTCTTAGTCATTAAAAACAGTCAAAGTAACAAAAAAAACCAAAAACAAAGTCAACTTGACCTTGCATTTCAATAACAGGGATGCCAAGTCTTTAATCTTCGGGGACAATCTTCTGCATACAAAGTTTACATTTAGATGGTCCTGGGCATACATAGCTATTTCAGAAAGAAACCATTAAAAAATATACTCAATACAAAATAAGTATTGGTCTTTCTGCTCTTAAGCGTGATTTAACAGTGAACAATTTAATATAAAATAATTTAAAATAAGGTTCTAATTTCCAGGTTGATGCCTGAATTACCACAATATGATCAGGATAATCTAAAGTCATACGGAGATGAAGAAGAAGAACCAGCCCTGTAAGTTTTTTAAATAATTTGTTTTATTAAATTCTCATAATCCATCTCACTTATAATGACGATAGAAGACTAAAGCAACGTAAAAGCTCTAAATTTAGAGTATATATTCATTCAACAGATCTTTTAAAGTTATCTGTAAGATATAAATGAAATCTAAAGTTCGTCCAAAAAGATTGTTTCTCTCTCCTTAATTGTTCCTAAATCATATTTTCAGTGTGCTACTGTTCAGTAAAACATTCTTTGCCCACATGGTAGCTGTAGAAAAAGTAGATGAATTCAGATATCTCTTGAGCACCCACTTTGTGCAAAGAATTAGTTAAATGCTGAGGGGAGAATACAGTGTTTGGTAAACATTCTTTTTCTTAAGGAGCTTGCAATCTAATATAGACAATATTACCTTGTAATAGAAGACAGTGTATGACAAGTGCTAAGAAAAAGGGTAGATAGCATGTTATGGAGGCTCAACTGCTGTGCACTAGGAAGGGAAGACTTTCTCTTGAGGAAGAGACCTTTATGCTGGACCTTTCAGGTTGGGTAGCATTTCAGCAGGGCAGAGAAGACAGTATAAGTTAAGGAAACACCATGTGCAAAGGCATGGAGGCATGAACGTTCAGGATGTGCTTGGGGAAGTTGAGTAGTTGCCTCTTAACATATTTTTTTATTGTCTATATCTTCTTCCACTGGAACGTAAGCTCTGTGAAGGCAGGAATTTCTGTCTCTTGTTCCCGACTATACTGACAGCTGACAGCACCCAGAGTGGTTCCTGGCCTAAGGCACATTCATGAGTAGAGCTCATTTGTTGAATAAAAGAATAATTGAACAAATATATGTGAAGTAGCTGGGGAGGGTACAGTGTAAGATAAAGCTGGAAGCGTGCTTAAGATAATGAAGGCCTTACAAATGCCACTTTTTTAGGGTTTGGGGCACTATTTGGTAAAAGATGGGATACCACCAGCTGATTCTGGCAATACTATGGAGCATAAATTCTGTAAAGAAGCAAGCAGAGGTGGAGACCATTCTAGAAGTTATAATGGTGCATGGAGGGCAGTGTAGAAAGTGGAGAGATATCTTAGCTAGTATTTGTAAGATCTAGTGACTGTTGATATGGAATAGAGAAGCGTTGGTACATGAGATGGTGATGTTGAAGATGAAAACCTAAGGGCAGAAGCTTGAAGAAGACCTATGTTTATGGGCTCGGAGAGGGAAGCGACAAGGGAGGAAAGATGACAGAGGTGAAAGGAGAGAACCAAGGAGGGTCATAGAGAACAGAATTCAATAGATATACACAAATATTTCACTTTTTGAGAATCTCTTAAGTTCACGTTAAAGTATTGATTGCAAAAGTTGAGTAACGAAGAAATTTAACATACACTATCATGAATTAATGTGAATGTTAAATTTGCTTTCCTGAAAAGGCATAGAGTCCATGATCTCTTTACCCAGTGTAGGATGATAAAGGACCTGGTAGGACTTGGTAACCCTCATCGTTCCCCTGACTGGCTCAGGGACTGTAGACCAATCATTTAGCTTCTCTGGTGTATGATATTTTTTCATCTATAAAGGCTGAAATAGATGTTTTCTGAAAGACTCTTTCCTTTAAGTTCTAACTTCTAGAGTCTGTATTTTTATAGCATATATATGTTTAGTATATATAAAACATATATTTAAAAATATTTTATGTTATATATTGTATGCTTTTTATATTTTTATATAAGTATAAAATATATACCTATATAATACGTATTTTGTGTATATTATATATATATTATATAACATTTTATATCTTTCAGATTCTATAATTGCCATTATGTGAAATTAGGAGTTAAAATTGAATCTATAAAGGGGAACTTTTAAAATGGTTTTTGGAAAATAGAGATTTTTCTAAAATACTTGAAGTTTATACATACTGTCAATTTGTTAGGGGATGAGTTATAAAGAAAATTATAGTGTTTAATCATTGATTCTCAGGTCACCACCGGCAGCACTGATGTCTCTTCTTAGCACTCAAGAGGACTTACTAGAAAATGTTTTGGGGTGTATTCCTGTTGGACAGATAGTTACTATTAAGCCATTGAGTGAAGACTTCTGTTATGTTTTGGGATACCTCCTCACTTGGAAATTAATACTTACTTTCTTCAAAGCTGCTTCATCTCAGGTATATAAATTTGTGACAACTTTTGGCAGTTCTGTGCTATATATATTTTTCTGTTAGTATCTTAAACCCCTTCTTTTCCCCTCCTTTTGAGAAAAAAGAGAAAATGCCATACATTTTAATCTAATTTTATCTGGCTAACTTCAGACATTTTGCTAAATTTAGTTCTGTCCTTACTTCCTCACCCTCCCACAGTTATTTACACATACACACACACACACACACACAGTTTTTGCAAGAGTATTGATCTCTGAAATGTGCCTGCATTAATTTTTTTTCTGAGTGTAGCCACCAAGTCCTTTTATCACAGGAAACAAGATTTGTATAATTTAGTTTTGTACTACCATAGTAATAATTTCAAAAAAATTGGATCTTGCTATTTTTTTTCTTTGGTCAACTTCTGCTGTTGTGGGAGATTTCAGTTAATACATCATTGGAAATTTACTTTATTTGAAAATCAGTGTTTAGAGAAAGAGCTATGAGACATTACCTATGTAATTCACACTATTATTTCTAAATGGTGAATATATCCTATAATAATAATTTTGCCCAAATTATTCTAGCAGCCACTAGATGTCTCTGTTGTCTCATGTTTAGGAAGAAAGACCTCATTGTCCAGGTAGGAAGCTAGAAAAATCTACTCCAGTTTTTTTTTATTCTTTTAGGCAAGTCCCCACTTAAATAATTTCAATCAAACTTTGAATTATTTTAATAAAGTATGTGACATCTTAGACTTAGTTTCTCACTTCATATTTAAAGTGTGACTAAATATGGCATTCATTTCCAGTGTGATTTTTCAGAATTCTTAAACTATAATTTGTCATTTCTAATTATCCATACCTTGGTACAAATATATCAACATATGTATCTTTGCATTTGTATACATAAGGGAAAATCAGATCACAGAGGTAACGCTGATCTAGCTGTTTAGATTGTTTTATTTCTCTTCGGGCTTGCCATTTATGTTTGTGACCTGAGCTAGTTTTATTTGCTGATGATGTATTTCAAGAACTCCTTGTTGGGCTTTTACATTCATTTCTTAAAATATTGTTGATCTCTAAAAAATTGCAGCAAATTGAGGCTTCCATTATGTATAAGAATTTTTGTTCTTGTCATCTTATATTCAGAAATTAGGGAAATGGTCATGTATCATCTTTTTCATTAAACCAGCATGGAGGCGGGAGGTGCAGAGAATTATAGAGCAGCATTCATTGAGCCTGGAAATTGAACTGAGCTGTGAACACATAAACCAGAATAACCCACTAAATAACACTAATTAGATGAATCCTGAAACAGAATTTTTTTAAAAAAACCTTAATCAGTGCTAAATCTGGTTTGTTTTAACTTTCTTCTCAAAAAAACTCATAGTGAATCAAATGGAACTGTGTGTGTATTTGTGTTATAGTTTTTTGTTAGTGACATCAAGTCGATTCTGACTCCTAGTGACGCTGTGTACAGCAGAGCAGAGCCCTGTCCAGTTTTTTTGTGCCATCCTCACACCTTCCAGCGCTGTATCAGACAATGCTCTACTTCTAGTCATAGGGTTTTCATGGCCAGTTTTTTTGAAAGTGGGTGGCCAGGTCCTTCTTCCTAGTCTGTCTTAGTCTGGAAGCTCCGCTGAAACCTTCCACCATGGGGGCCCCTGCTGGTATTTGAAATCCTGGGCATAGCTTTCAGCATCACCGTGACATGCAGCCACCACAGTGTGACAGCCGACAGACGGGCAGTGTGGTTCCCTGACTGGGAAATGAATGCGGGCCACCATGGTGAAAGTGCCAAATCTTGACCACTAGACAACCAGGTTATAGCTTTACTGAGATATATTTCACATACCATCAGATTTACTTATTTGGAGTGTTCAGTTTGGTGTTTCTAATATGTTCACAGAATTGTGCAACTATTGCCACTATCTAATTTTAGAACATTTTCAACACCTGAAAATGTTTGTAGTCACTTCCCATTTCCTCTCAAACCCTCCAAGCCCCTGGCAACCACTAATCTGTGATCTGTCTCTGTGGGTTTGCCTATTGTGGACATTTTACATATGTAGTCTTTTTGTCTGGCATATTTCACTCAGCATCATGTTTTCAAGATTCATTCCTGTTGTAGCATGTATCAGTACTGCGTTCCTTTTTATGGCTACATAATATTCCATTGTATGAATATACCACATTTTGTTTATCCATTCATCCATTGATGGACGTTTAAGTTGTTTACGCTTTTTTGCTATTGTGACTAAAGCTGCTGTGAACATTCGTGTGTAAATTTTTATGTGCACATACGTTTTCATTTCTCTTGTATACCTAGGAGTGGGATTGCTGGGTAATATACATGTGTTTTACAAGCCCATTGATATGTATGATTAATTTTTTTAAAATTCTACTTTCCTTCCAACTTTTTATTTTGAAAAAAATTCAAATATACAGAGAAGTTGGAAGAATAATTCAATGAAAAGCCATATACCCTTTTCCTAGAGTCACAAATTTTTAACATGTTGCTACATTTGCACATGCTTTCTCTGTATTTTCTTTTTTCCTGCTGATCTGTTTGAAAGTAGGTTGCAGACATAATGATGCTTTACCAAAAGTATTTAAACATGTATCTCCTAAGAACAAGGACATGTTTCTGCGTAAGTGTAATATAATTGTTACACTCAAATTTAATTTTGATGCAATAATATTATCTAGTCTATATTCAGATTTCCCCGGGTTTCCCAGTAGTGTCTTTTATAGTTTTAATTTCTTCTCTATTGAGGATTCAATCAAGGATCATTTGCATTTGTCTGTTGTCTTTCTTTAGCTAAAAATTTCCCTACCTTTCTTTTCTTTCTTGTCATTCACCAGGTCAGTTATTTTGTAGACTATCTTACAATTTGGATTTGTCTGATTGTTTGCTCATGATTAGATTCTGGGTAATTTTTAGCAAGAGTACTTACTGCACAGTCATGATGTGTCCTCAGTGTATCACCTCAGGAGGCACTTAATGTCAGGGTGTCCTTTTAGTGTGATGTTAAGTTTGGTTACTCAGTAAAGGTAGTGTTCTCCGGATTTCTCCATTGTAAAGGTACTTTGATCAATGTATTTTAAGAAACAGTTCCAAATCCTATGGCTTCATCCTTGTATGTGAGTGTTCATTGTGTTCAGAAAATGGTGTCTTTGTATTATGAGGAGATGCATGGTGTAGTGGAAGAAATCATTTTAAAACAGGTACAAATACCAAAGAGTTACAAAGTAAATGTGAATAAATGAAAAGTCTGTCATTGAGGGACAAGGACTTCCAAAGCACGGGTCTCACACAGATACGTATAGTGCATCCAGTGGTGCCAAATTTTCTTGTTTTTAAAGAAGAAACCAGAAACATATTTTTATGTGAAATTTCCTGATTTACAAAACAACTGTGAGAAGACCTCCAAGACATTTTGGACTACCAATTTGTGTTCTCTGTCCTAGAGGGATGCTGGGGTGATGGATATAGGGTGGGGTCAGCCATGAAAATGGGATTAGTTTTAAGTAGGATTTTGAAAGATTAAGGACTATGGTGTGGAAGGAATGTGTGGAAGACTTGCGGGGAGAGTGAGTGAATCACTTGTGGGGAATGGTGAATAATTTTCTTTGCTTAGAGATTCCAAGTAGAGGTGAACTTATTAACAGAGAGACAGTTTGGAAAGATGTTAAAAGCATTTGCCTAATAATGAGGGATAGTGAAAACGTCTGCTAGTTTATGAGGAAAGGGAGCAGTGCCATCAAATGGCACATTTAGAAAATAAGAATGTGGCATGTATTTTGTAGGACTTTTCCATGTATTTCTAAATGTTCAAATTAATGCATTTTTATTGTGTTCTTATACAATCTGTTATACTTTGATTTGTTCTTATCTACTGATTATCTTGGTTTAATTGGGTTTACTAGCAAATTCTTTGCTCTCCACCAGCTTCGGGCTCTGTATTCGATGTACCTTCGGAAAACAAAGAGTTTGAATAAATTGCTCTATCACCTGTTCAGGCTTATGCCAGAAAATCCAACCTATGCAGAGACAGCTATTGAGCTTTCAAATAAGGACCCTAAAACATTCTTTACAGAAGAGCTTCAGTTGAGTATTAGAGGTCAGTAAGTTGTGTGTTTGTGTTCTCTTGGAGACTAGGTTCAGACTAGGGTGTATTATGCTTTACCTGAGAGTGTGGAGAGTAACCCCAGATGTGGGTCCTGGCTATGAGAATGTTGAAGTGCAAGATTTTCCATATTTCTCTAAATAGGACACATAATTATTAGATCTTATGGATAAGGTTCTTAAGAATTTATTAAATTTTTGAAACCTAGTTTGTTGAGACTGTTATTGTTTACACTGTAAACAAATATTTGTTATGTGATAAAGTTTTATAGATCTGTAAATAAGTAGTCTTCAGTTGGGGAAACGAAGATGAGTAAAATTTATTTCCTTTGCTCTGGGAGCTCCCATTTTAGCTGAAGGGATAGACATACCTGCATCTAGTAGTACTACAATGTTATAAGTGATTTCCTAAGAATAGGAATTTTTTAAATGCCATGGAGATCTGAGGATGGAACTGCATCTTGTGAGTATGGAGGTGGGTATTCTAGGACTTTTGCATAACACATCAGTGAGCTCTGGGGAAAGTAAAGGAGGCCAAACTCCCTTTCATTATTTATAAGACTGAGAATCTTTAATTTTTCCTCCTTTTCAAAATATGTGTTCCATTTTATTTGCAATCTTTCATGTGAAATACAGAATTCTATTTCTAGGCAGAATTTTCAGTGTCAGTTGGGACATACTTTCTACTTCTTCATACTTTCTACTTCTTTTTGCCATTCTAAATGGTTCACTTTGAATGTGTGGGAGAAAGCTAATACTCTGGTTTCTTTGGTATGTCTTTTTTATGAGCTCTAGCACTAATGTTGGGGAATTAAAAATGATTTTCTAAGGAAAATATTAATATTAGTCTGTTATTCTATGTGAGAAATACATGTTACTAACTAAGAATTTGCTTTTTCCTCAGAAACAGCAACACTCCCATACCATATTCCACACTTGGCTTGTTCAGTCTATCATATGACATTAGAAGACTTGCCTGCGATGGTTAGGCTGTGGTGGAATAGTAGTGAGAAGCGTGTTTTCAATATTGTAGATAGATTTACAAGCAAGTATGTCAGCAATGTTCTTTCTTTTCAAGAAATATCTTCTGTGCAAACAAGTACACAACTATTTAATGGCATGACGGTTAGTATTGTCTTGAATTTTTTTCTAGAAAAGTTGTTTGAATATTGGTTATGTCTGTCATTTGTAGTGAGTATTATCACAATTGTAGCCCCTGGTTTAGAATTTATAGAAATTGTCTACTTTATTATCTGATTCTTCTCTATCACATCTCAATAATAATGTATGGATTGAAACAATGGTATAATTTCATTTACCCCCACCAAATAGTTTTTGAACATTCATTAGTTCATTCAAAATATATATTGGAATGCCCTACAGATGCCAGGCACTGTGGGCCAGTCATCTGGGAAATGAAGAGTTTAGTAGAGCAGATTCCTGTCCTGTAATAACAATCTAGCAAAGGGAAAAGAGTGATACTGACAATGTTTTTTGCATTAGAAACTGGAAATTGGCACATTAAGAGAAAGAGTGCTTTGTGATCAGAGTGAGAAAGGTTCATCTGCTGAGGAGGTTAGGTGAGACTTTGAAGGAAGATTACTTTGAGGTCGGCAGGATTTTGTTATGGGGAAAATGAGAGGAAAGACATTTAATATAGAGAAAATAGTATGGCAAAAGCAAAAAGCACGGAGGTGAGAATGTAATTTCTCTGATTGCCCAAGAAATGTTGAAAAACCCAGTATTCATATAGGGTAGGATTCCTGAAGGTGAATAGTCAGAGAACAAACAGCTTCTATGATAAATTAGGGCCATATTGGGAAAGACCTCAAATAACAGTCTGAAATATTTGGTCCTATTTTAGCCACTGAAAATTTTCCTTTGAGGCAGTGACACGGTCAGAATTATAATCTGTGAAATTGCTCTGACTACAATAGATAGCATGGGCTGTTGGCATGCAGCTTGGGTTCAGAGGAATAGTTAGGGGAGACTATTGGTGTAGACATTATGAGCAATGAGCAGGGCCTGAGTGAGGCAGTATCAGTGGGAATGTAAAAGGGGAGGGATGTGAGAAATTTCGTAGTGATTTATCCAAACTTGCAACTAGTTAATATCTGGGATGCGGTAGAAGGAGAAATTTAAGATGATGCTATGGTTTTTAGCCTGGAAATAAGAAAGTCAGAAGAATAATTTTGTAAAGGATGATAATTTGTGTTTTACGTTGAGTTTACAATGCTAGTAAAAAGCAAAAACCAGGTATAAATATTCTGAAGCTGATGGTTCACTCTGAAGCTCAGAAGAATTCTGTGGTAGGGAAGGACTTGGGAGACATCTACAGCAGTGATATTTGATACCCTGGGTGTGGAAGACAAGGAATAATTAATAACCCATTCTGTCATTTGTTTATTCAAAAACTATTTAACTGTTATGTGATAAGCCTAATATAATGAAATATACTTTCTTATGAGCAGTGTATTTCTTTTAAAACAAATTTTGAGTGTCATAAAATCACTATAAAATATGTCATATAGCTAAACCTATTTATTAAATATCTCATGTCAAATAAATGAATGTATTTACCTACGTTTTCTTTGAATGATGACTTTGGCTGCTAATAGTCAACTTCTCAAGATGTTTTTAATGAAAGAAAGGAAAGAAATTGGGCAAAAAGAATAATTACCTTTCACGTGTTGCAGGTTAAAGCTCGAGCCACAACTCGAGAAGTCATGGCGACTTACACCATTGAGGACATAGTCATTGAACTTATAATACAGCTGCCCTCAAATTACCCGCTGGGGTCAATAACAGTGGAAAGTGGGAAAAGAGTGGGAGTGGCTGTTCAGCAGTGGCGGAACTGGATGCTGCAGTTAAGCACTTACCTCACCCATCAAGTACGTTTCTAGGCACACATTTCGTTTTCCACACTAGAGAGAAAGACTGCTGATGGACTATTTGAAAAGGCAGTAAAACAGAAACTGTATCTGTTCTGCTGAAGGTAGAAATAGATATTATATTTCCTTGGATAAACACAGGTATGTGCCTAAATGACTTGAACCTGCCAAGCTATTTTAATTTTTAAGGCTCTACAATTTTTTTCTGGTGTTTGAGAGGAATTGACTACTTCATTGACGTTGTAGACAATATAGAACAATATATGGTATTAGGAAATAGTTTGAGGGGGAATCTTTTTGTGAGATACTGGACAGATGAATGCCTTCTGAGATACTTCTATTCTTACATTTCAACTCTCCTCCTGTGATTAGAGAAATCCCAGTACTTTCACTTTGACTTTCAAACAACATGTAAGTCTTCTCTAGTTCTGTTTGCACATTGTGGTGTATCTCTGGCATTCTACTGTAAAGAAAAATTATTTTAAAACAGATATATTCACCAATATTGTAGAGCTGGGAAAAATCAGCAGTTGAGAAGGTGAAATAATTAATTTCATCATTTTTAATTAAAAATTTGGAGAACTGATCTAAATCTAAATGATTTAATTATTTAAAAAGTTTCATCAAGCAACAAGCTGAGACTAAAAAACTTGAAGTATTGGTGCAGAAGCCTTTCTTTCAAGTCAGCCTTTAATGGAGAAAAATTGTATTCTGGTTCCTAAAAAACTTGGGAGGTCATTTTAAAAACCAACATTCGTAGAACTTAGGTGATGTGAATATAGCCAAGCAGGTTCTCTTCTCTCCAAATTATAATTCAACTTTAAAATTTGTGAAACTGAATAAAAATAATTAATTGGTGGTCTTCAGTGTATTTTGACTTTTTTTTCCTTCTTGTTTAACAGAATGGAAGTATTATGGAAGGCTTAGCATTATGGAAAAATAATGTAGACAAACGTTTTGAGGGTGTTGAAGATTGCATGATCTGTTTCTCAGTCATTCATGGTTTCAACTATTCTCTTCCCAAAAAAGCCTGTAGAACATGCAAGAAAAAGTTCCATTCAGCCTGCTTGGTAAGTCTAAAGAGAAATTAACTAACTTATATTTTATGTAAATTATATATGTATGATATCTAACTTTGGAAAAGAAAACAATTAATGTTAAACTCTTAATTGTAGTTAATGGGAGACATATTAAAAAATGATTTTTCAAAATAATTAATTTACTGAGACTGGTAGCATCAAAGCACTTTAATAAATGGATGTTTCTAATATAGTCTCAGCACTAAAAAAATATGTGGTCTTGTAAGATCGAGACCATAAAGGAGACGAAAAGCATTGGAACTGGGGCCATCTGGCATCAGAGCTTTTTGCTCTTGTTAAGCATCATATTGAAAAGAAAGTCACTCTGTGTTCAGTTTGTTTGCAGGAGGTCTTCCTTCCGTAGCTCAGTGGTTGTGTGCATGAGCCTAGGTAGAAAGAATCTTACTGTAGCCTTTGGAAGTAATACTGAGTTGTATTGATTTTGGAGATAAATGGAGGGAGCAAAAATTTCAGTATTCTCCCTTTTTTACTTATCATTTTAAGGTTACTTTAGATGTGTATGTAAAATGACAGCTTTAAAAAGTTCTCGTAACATTTAAAACCTTTTCTTTTTCAGTACAAATGGTTTACGTCTAGCAACAAATCTACTTGTCCACTCTGTCGTGAGACCTTTTTCTGAATTTTTGTTCCCCCATTGGAAGTGGTCCTGAAGTAAATCAAGCAAAGGCAGTGGATTTGGATCCACGTTAGAGTGTTCATGTGAGGAGGCCAGTGAGCATTACTTTTAAATAGGACCTTCTCTGGAAAATTATTTTGCTTAATGTAATGATCCTAAAATCAGGTTTACTTATCTTTAGATTGCTTTGTAAATGTTTGGAAACCTTTTCTTTTACATAAGAATATTACATATTTGAGAGAATATTTATATTAATAGTTTAATCTCTTTGTATATTTAAAAATAAATATGGGAAAACCCTAAATTACAGAATTAGAATTTGTGAAAGCATCGTACAACTGTATTATACTAATAAATCCATTCAGATTCTTGATCTATATTCTAGGACAGTCCAAGTGAGGCAAATGAATTGAGAGGGTTGATTTACATCTATAGACATTTTAAGACTTATTTATTAGTTACGACAACAGAATTAATTAGTATTCTGATATTTGTAGATTATTTTAATGATAAAAATGACAACATAGCTTATCTTAAGCTATTTGAAGCATGCTCTGAAATTCTGTATAAAGAGTGTGAACTGAATTTTAAGGTGCCTCTATTTATCAAGGGTTATGAAATTCCGAAAATTAAATTATGACACTGACCTTTTGCTGTGGAAGAAGAATTTCCATATATTAGTGAAATTTGAATTGCAAACTTGTCAGTGAATTTATTACTCAGTTTGAGTGAGTCTCCAGAGGGTGAAAATTTGAGAAAAATATGATTTAGGTTATTTCATTCATGAAGCAGAGAGGTAGTTATCCCTTTAGTGAGAGGGAAGAAGTAAATGAGTATTTCTGAAATTTAAGATTGGTGGAAAAACAAAAAATTTTAAAATGTTGCAGGAGACTTTCAATTTTGTAAGCAAATTTTATTACTCTTACTGGCCGGAATTACACTAAATTAGAGATTTGAGAGAACTAATTTTTTCTAGCCTTCGGAAGTGAAAGTTAAGAATTTTAGTACTAAGTAAAATTCAGTATAAAAGGCTGAAGTGGAGTAGGTGAAATCAGCACTATTACCCTGAAAAATTGTGCCCAAAATATAAAAGTGTAGAAGTTTGGAACTTGGAGTAATTTTATTGCAGTCTTCCATTAAATGGGAAATACTAGCATACCTAATAGCAAGGTTACTTGAGAGATCAGCTAATCATCTCTGTTGCAACTGTTTAATTGGCAAAAAGCAACTCATGTTAAATAAAATTACTGCTTACCATCAACTGGGTAAAATGGTTATTATTGACACAGTATGAATGTGGTCAGAGTATTGTAGTCAAGAGTGAAATATTCCGTATGAGTTACAGATCTCTTGAGTTGTATTTGTAGATGCAGTGTCCTACCCAGTTTTGTCTGTCTCCTAAATTTTTCTCTGTAATATTTATTATCTTCTAGCCTTGAGGCTCAAGGAGTCAGTAAGTGAAGTACAGATAGCAAAATTCTACCTCTTCTTAACCCCTTTCTTAAAATATTCTCCATCTTTCTATGTCTCTCTCTGACATAGTAATCCCAAAGGATTGTATTACTCCTCTGTGAAAGTTACACACTTTTCCTTTAAAAATGGTTTTATAATAAGACTTTGTTTATAGATTTTCCAGTATTGGTACTTCTTGGTTTCCAATCCAAACCCCAAGTAGAAAAGAAAAGGGGGAATAATGGAGCATTGTTTTTCCACGGTAGTATTAGGGCATCTGGGTCTTGGTGAAACACTGTAATTAAGTGGGATACCTACTCTTCATACTTAGGACTCTTAACACATTTCTTTGAGACTTGTAGATATAAATGTAAAGCTTGTTACTGTTTATATGCTAAAGAAAAAGCTCTCCAAAATGAGACTGAATTCAGAATACCACATTAATGAAAGTTTTATTTATATATAGCCTTGACAACACTAGATAGCATCCCTTAAAATTCTAGCATAAGGAAATTTTAAAATTGCATGAAATTCAAAGCCCATTAGCAAAATTATTAATTTAAAACCCCAATGTAAATTGCAAATTTTAGAATTTATTTTTAACTCTTATTTATTACATGCTCTAATGTATGTACATAAGTTTCTGTGGTTTAAATAATTAATGTTATTACTTGATAAGTTTTTGTGGTGTGAATAATTAATGTTATTATTTGATTGTTATACCATATGTGCCCATTAAGATTCTTTTTAATTATAAAATATTTCAAATATACAGAATAATAATAATAATATATAAATGCCCTTGTACTCTTCACAAACTATTTTGCCATATTTGCTTCTGATTTTTAAAGAAATAAAACGTTACTCTTTTGTACTCCTCCCTGACGCCATCTCCTCCTTACCCCCAGAGCTAACCTACTGTTCTGAAGTTGCTGTGACTCCTTCCTATTTAAGATTTTATACTTTACCATGTTTGTATCCATAAATAATATATAGCAGTTTTTAAAAAAACTATATTTGTGATATCCTATTGTATGTAATCTTTTGTAACTTGCTCTTTCAACTCAACATCAGCTGCTGTTTAGTATCGTATTATCTCGGTTTACTTACCAATTCCCCCACTAATGGTCGTTTCAGTTGTTATTTTTTGCCATTTTGAACAGTGCTGCAAGTATACATTCTTGGTAATGTTTTCTCATGCAAATGTGCTATAAATTCTGGACATATGCCCCTAAGTGGAATTTCAGGTAGTAGATATGTATACTCTGTGACTTTAGATGTTGTCAAATTGCTCTCCAAAGTGGTGTGCAAGTTTGCACTCCTAATGGCAGTGTAAAAGAAGTCTTGATTTTCCTACCACATCACCAACACTTAGTCTTATCAGACTTTTTAAGTTCTCTAGGCAGAGCTGTGAGAGAGTAGCTGTTTGTTTTAATTTATATTTCCCTGACTGCCAAGAATCTTAGCTTCGTTTCTTATATTTATTGGTCATTATTTTGTGAATTTATTATCTATATGTCTGTTTTTATCTTGGATTATTTGTATTCTTATTGATCATAATGCTTTTTCTGTTACAGGGCTTTCTTCTAGTATGGGGCTTGACTTTAACATGGTCTGTGGCTATCTTGAATTGTACAGAATTTTTCATTTAAATTTAGTCATATTTATCCTTCTTTTCCTTTATGACTGAGCCTTTTTGTATTACATTAGAACAACTTGTTCCTTTTCTAAGGTTTAAAAAAATTATATTTTGTTCTAAAAGTTATAAATTGCAAAATATGCCTGATTCACCTGAAATTAAATTTTGTATGACTGTTGTAAGGTAGAAATCTCACCCCATATTGATAGCCAGTTCTCATAGCATCATTTATTAAGTAGCACACCCATTCCCCACTGACTTTGTAGTGCCTCCTCTCTTATATTACCAAATCCGCTTGTATGTGTGGATTGCTTTCTGGGCCCTGTATTCTGTTCCTTTGGTCTATTTATCTGTGTTAATTCTACACAAATTTCTTTGCTTTAAAAATTAGCTTTATAATTAATTTTGAAGAGTAGGTGAGTAGTCCTCTATTCTTGTTCTTCTTCAAGACTTTCCCTGGATAGCCATGTCCTCTGCTCTCTAGAACTCCCTTTCCCCTCCTTGTTGACTAGGGCCAATTTGTCCTTACTATAATGAATTATCTTATGAAAGAATTTGGCAAGAGTCTGTCTAGGTTTTATCTGGTGCAATCGGGTGAATTTTCTGGCTTTGCCAGATCTTATCCAATTATTCTTAGTTATTTTTTTTTTTTTTCAAAATAGGAGACAAAAATTTTGTATATTTGTGATGAAATCCTTGAACCTCTCCATAAATTTGTTTTCCTGTTTTATAAAAATTCATTGCAAAAGTACTTTGGGCAGAGCAAGGAGTTTAGCATGGAGGTCTGCTATTTCCAATAGCTTTGATAATGTCTTTTTTTGTTACTGTGGATTTCTTTTTAAGAACAGCAACTTCTTTGGGTAGCACCAAGTCATCAAATAATTTGTGTATTTGGTATCTAGATTTTATAGGGATACCTGAAGAGGTTAAGAAACTTCCATTTCCATGGAATTCCAAATTGATAGTTGTTTCAAAAATATACTGGCTATAGTGTATTGATTTACTCTTCATTTTTAGCAATGTGATGTGCCCTGTAGAAAACCACAAGTTTGGCCACTTGAGCTTATAAAGGCTTTTGTTAAGGTACTGGATTCTAAAAGACTCTGGTGTGGTTATTGTATAATCACGTAGTATTGTTCCTTTTCATTCTTTAAGATAAGACTCATTAACAAGCAGTATTTGTAAGAATTTAGTAGGGGGATGTTCACAATGTCTGTTCAGGGCATGGACACTTCTTGAACTGCAGAACCATAATCATGGGATTCTCTTTCATCAGCTAAAGGTAATAGAGTTTCTGGATTTCAGAGGGCCACACCAATTGATGGAAAATGAGAAAGTGGTAATATTATACTTTATGTGGTACCATCGGATTTACTCTTGCATATTGATCCTGTACCCTGCACCCTAGCTGAACTTGTTTACTAGTTCTAATAGTTTTTTTGTGGATTCCTTAGGATTTTCTATATACAAGATCATCTCATTGGCAAATAGAGATAGTTTTACTTCTCCAATCTGGATACTTTTTAGTTCTTTTTCTTGCCTAATTGTGCTGGCTAGAACCTCCAGTGGCAAATAGAAGTGGTGAGAGCAAATATTCTTGTCTTGCTCCTGATCTTAGGGGATAAGCTTTCAGTCTTTTAGCATTGTGATATTAGCTGTGGTTGTTACACTCAGATTTAAAGGTGAACTTAGTAAAAATGCTGAAGATGCTCCAACTAATTAGCCTAGGCTGTAGTTTCTCTGATGCAAGAGAAAATAAGCTATTGGATCAAAGGATAGGCTGTAAGAGGCAATGGATTGTTGATGTATGCCATGATGTTGGAAAACCATTAGAGTGGAGTTTCTCAACGTCAGTACTGTTAGCATTTGGAGCTGCCTGATTCTTTGTTTTGGGGACTGTCCTATGCATTGTAGGATGTTTAGCAGCATTCCTGGCCTCCATCTACTAGATTCCAGTGCAACATCCCAGTTGTGACAACCAGAAATGCACAGACCTCGCCAGATGTCCCCTGGGTGGCAAAATTGCCCCCAGTTGAGAACCATTGCCTTAGAGCATGGACTAATCAAGCACCATTCAATAGAAATATAATGTGAGCCACATATGTTATTTTAAATTTTGCTAGTAGCCATATTAAAGTTATAAGAAGAAATAGGTGAAATTAATTTTAATAACACATTGTGTTTAACTTGGTATCCAAAATACTATTTCAACATGTAATCAATATAAAAATTACGTTGATATTTTACGTTTTTTTCATATTAAGTTTTTGAAATCCAGTGTGTATTTTAAATTTATAGCACATTTCAATTCAGATATGAAATTTTCATCAGAAATACTTGATCCTGGGGCTGGCCCCATGGCTTAACGGTTAAGTGCACGCGCTCCGCTACTGGTGGCCCGGGTTTGGATCCTGGGCACACACCGACACACCACTTCTCCGGCCATGCTGAGGTCGTGTCCCACATACAGCAACTAGAAGGATGTGCAACTATGACATACAACTATCTACTGGGGCTTTGGGGAGAAAAAAAAAAGGAGGATTGGCAATAGATGTTAGCTCAGAGCCGGTCTTCCTTAGCAAAAAAAGAGGAGGATTAGCATGGATGTTAGCTCAGGGCTGATCTTCTTCACAAAAAAAAAAAAAAAAAAGAAATCCTTGATCCATATTTAGGTTTCAGAAAATTTACACTTAAAAAAGTAAATTCGGGCCGGCCCCGTGGCTTAGTGGTTAAGTGCGTGCGTTCTGATGCTGGCGGCCCGGGTTCGGATCCCGGGCGCGCACAGACCCAGCGCTTCTCCCGCCATGCTGAGGCCAAGTCCCACATACAGCAACTAGAAGGATGTGCAACTATGACGTACAACTATCTACTGGGGCTTTGGGGGGGAAAAAAAAGAAAATAAATTCACATACCTAAGTTTTCCAATAACTGGATTGAGTGTCCGTTCTGAAATTTAATTAAAATTAAATAAAAATTTAAATTTAGTTCCTCAGTCACACTTGCCACATTTCAAGTACTCATTAGCCACGTTCCTAGTGGCTATTGTATCAGACAGTGCAGGCCTAATCTTACGTGTACATAAAAAAGAAAGGTTTATGATAATCTAGAAAGAATCAGTCTGGACTCAAACTCAGATCCAAATAATCTACTTGTCTTGAGAGTCTTTTGCCTGTAGAATTCTGGAATCATAGCTTATCCTTTGGTTATTTTTTAAATAACACATAGTGTAGTTTTATGTCCAAATCAGCTGTACTTTGATCATATATAGAATTTTCCAAAACTTCAAAAAATAATTCTTCTACAGTAAATTTTACCTGGCAGTTCCATTTATTAAGTAGAACCTTACCTATTAAATGGTTGTGTCATGAAGCAAGTGCTATGTCCTGATCACAGTCTCAAAATAGTAGTTATAGATTGTTAGACATTTCCACTATTTGGGCAGTTTTAGTACTCTGAGGAATCTGATGTTCTGTGGTAGTGGGATTACTAGAGATAAAGTGACCCATATTTGTATTTTGTTGTAAATCTTTATTTATAGACCTTTCTCCCTAGGAGTTTAGAAGAAGGTCAGGGAATTACAAAGTGCTAATGTCTCCTGGACTGGCATTACTGGAGAGATTTTTGGATAGTTGCCCTGTTTTTTAGCCATTATAGGACATTAATTCTTCTCAAGGCCCTTCTGCTTTTGGTATCATTAAACATAGCTGTCTGATTCTTACAGATCAGAGAATCATTTGGACTTATGTTTATTTTGGATATCAGTTGCTTTATTTTGAGGGTCAGATGTTTGTTTTGATTTCTAGCTTTTTGAAATGTTCAGTAACTTGGGAGATCTTCTAAATTGGCATTTCTGAGTCCCATTTTCAAGAAAAAGGGACAAACCAGTCTGTCTTTACATTAGCTCAGAATACTGCTTGAAATTTTTCCTGGGTCTCTTTTTGGAGTCTTCTACTTATTTCATCTTTCTTGTTTGTTTGTTTATCATTTTGAATTTTTGTCCAAACTATCTCTAAGGGAAAGGCTTCTGAAATGGCCTCATGTAGTGCATTTCCTATTTCCTTACCCTTTCAAGGTCATTTCTTGAATTGTGAAGAGCTGGGTTATTTAAACCATTTCCTAGTTTTGGGTTTTGTTAGTGGTGTTTCTGCTGCTTTTAACCATTTTACCCCCATCTGAGGGGCTAATAATTAAGTGAACTGGTTGGTATAGACCTGGTTGTCCAGAACTATAAA